CATGATTTGGACCAAGAAATAAATAAAAGTTGTACTCAAATAAAATTTTATTATTAACTAAGCTTTAGAAACATCCCAAACCTCAGAATATATTTTTCCCCTACGTTTTTCTTTTCATTCTAGAAAGTAGGTCAGTAGAAATACTGCCAGTTAATTGGTTTAATTAGAAATGGAGAATTATAGGAGGAACTCATTTGGAAGTGTAGATTTAAATAAGAAGAAATATACTGGGATTAATATCACAAGTGTTTGAATTTAAATAAGATGCATTAAGAATAGTTTATCATTTCTTAAAAGATTTTAATAACAAGAGAGGATTGTAATGTATTAATACAGATGGGGAAATTTTGCCATGAAATATAATACTTGACAAGGAAATCATTTTAGAACTGTGTTTCTTAAACAGTACGCCTAAGAATTTTATTCTGCATGACCTTAATGGATATGTGGTGGGTGGGGGAGTATTCTCTGCCCAAGTAAGTTTGAGAAATATTAAGTTGAACAAATTTGAAAAGTTGCCTGCAGGACTTACCAGAGCTTTCAACGATTTCTGAATTTCTCTGAGAGAGTACATACAGGGTACCCTGCTTAGCCAATTTATTTATTTCTGCATCACCGAGTAACATTTTTCAGGAAAATGTTCTGAGTATACATAGACGTGTGACCTGTTTTAGGAATTTATACTTCAGATGTGTACGTCCTGATGTGTACTATGGAGGCATTATATCCAACCCCGTGCTTCCTTCTGTTAGCTGAAGTGTGATTTCCAAATGTGACTGTCTATCAGAAATAGCTGGGGGGCGTTTCTAAAAGATTGAGGTTTCTGGGCCCTGATCCTGACCCTGGAGATCCTGATTGAGTAGAGACGTCCCTGTGCCCAGGACCTGTGTTTATTACAGATGTCCAGGTGGCCCAGCCGCAGGCAGCGCTGGTCCTACAGTGGCCGCTTTGGAACTGCTGAGCTCAAAGAGCGCATGTTTTATTTTATTTATTTTAAAAATATATCTTATTGATTTTTTATAGAGAGAAAGGGAGAGGGATAGAGTTGGAAACATCTATGAGAGAGAAACATCGATCAGCTGCCTCCTGCACATCCCCAGTACATGCCCTTGACCGGATTCGAACCTGGGACCCTTCAGTCCACAGGCCAACGCTCTATCCACTGAGCCAAACCTGTTTCGGTAAAAGTGCGCATGTTTTATCGGGTCTAGTAATAATTAATGTCGTTTTTAAACATTCGTTTAAAATCTTGCTTGGCGTTGACTTGTATTGACATAACCTTCAAACACGTGGTATCTACAGAACGTGTGAAGTGCAATTAACAAGTTTTGCTTGAAAAAGTTTGTGTTTGGTTTGTTTTTTGTTGCAAAACTAGGGCTAAGAAGATGGCGGATGAAGAGCATATTCGGCACTGCATGCTTTACGAGTTCCAATTAGGAAGAAAAGCAAGTGAGGCTGCAAAAAACATCTGTAGTGCTCTTGGTCAAGATGCAGTTAGCGCCAGAAAATGCCAGCGTTGGTTTGAGAAATTTCGCGAGGGAAATTTTTCGTTAGATGACAAAGTGGTAGAGGCCGTGTGTCCAATTTTGATCAAGAAGCTCTTCAAGCTCTTTTGGTGCAAAATCCTCAAATTACCCAACAAGAGCTTGCGACAACTTTAAATTGTTCACAGAAAACAATTTCCAATCAATTGCGTGCACTTGGCAAAGTCCAAAAGTTTGGAAAATGGGTTCCTCATGAGTTGACCGACAACAACCGTAATCAAAGAGTCACAATTTGCAGTTCGCTCCTCTCTCGTCAAAACCGTTTGCCGTTTTTAGAGCAAATTGTAACCGGAGATGAAAAATGGGTGCTGTATGTTAATTTGAAAAGGCGGCCTCAATGGTTGGACAAAAATGAGGCTCCGCAGCCCACGCCAAAACCTGACTTGCATGCGAAAAAAGTGATGTTGTGTGTTTGATGGAATTTTAAAGGAATTCTTCATTATGAACTTTTACCATCTAACCAAACCATTACAAGTGCAGTGTATAGTGCCCAATTGGAAAAGTTAGCCCAAGCTTTAAGAGAAAAAGAACCCTCGCTGATTAATCGGAAGGGCGTAATTCTTCACCACGATAACGCACGACCGCATACTGCAAGAATCACTGCTGAAAAACTGCGCCAGTTGGAATGGGAAGTTCTCCCTCAACCTGCATAGTCTCCTGATATTGCCCCTTCCGATTACCATTTGTTTCGTTCTTTGCAAAACTTTCTTCTTGGAAAAAAATGTAATAATGAAGAATGCCTCAAAAATGCATTGACCGAATTTTTTGCATCAAAATCACAAGAATTTTACAACAGAGGGATTAAAATGCTTCCTGAGCGTTGGGCACAAGTAGTAGAAAACAACGGCAACTATATTGTTGATTAAATTTTGTTGTATTGTTTAAATAAATTCAATTTAAAAAAGTATTAGAAAACGACATTAATTATTACTAGACCTAATAGATCGGCGATGGGATTCGGGTGCAGTGAGTTTGTAGCCATAGAACATGTGGGCCGACCATCCCCGCGTGGAGAGGATGCAGCAGGATCTCCAGGGACCCTGTCGGGCGATGTGCTGGCTACAACCTAATGGAACACAGTCGCTGCTATCCTTTAGGAAAAGCAGAACATTTCTAAGGGATCTTTTGGTCACCGTCCCAGGGAGGGAAAACTGTAAATAAGATTACCATTTGTGTTTACTTAGTTTGAGGCGCTTCCTTTTGGATTGTATATTATTTATACTTTAGACATCTTTTTTTAATTGATTTAGAGAGAGAGGGAAAAGGAGATAGAAACATCGATTAGAGAGAAACATCTGTCGGTGCCTCCTGTACACCTCTACTGGGGATGGAGCCAGCAACCTAGGCATGCACCCTGACCGACCGGGAATTGAACCAGTGACCTCTTGGTTCATGAGTCAGTGCTCAACCACTGAGCCACCCTGGCTGGGCATTTATACTTTATTTTATTATTTTTTAAAATATATTTTATTGATTTTTTACAGAGAGGAAGGGAGAGAGATAGAGAGCTAGAAACGTCGATGAGAGAGAAACATCGACCAGCTGCCTCTTGCACACCCCCTGCTGGGGAGGTGCCCATAACCAAGGTATATGCCCTTGACCGGAATCGAACCTGGGACCTTTCAGTCCGCAAACCAACACTCTACCACTGAGCCAAACCGGTTTCGGCAATACTTTAAAAGGAAATACTGGTTTATGTTTATTCATGGTGTCATCTAAGAGTATATTCTCTCCCACCTTCCTGCTGATAGCAAAGAATATGTTCTCTCCCACCCTCCTGCTGATTACAGATGGACATTTAACCTTAAGAAGCAAATAGGCCAAGATTCTGTCTCATTTTATGCTTTGATTTATGTGATCACTGATAATAGCTTTTCTATTAAAACTATGTGATTGTAACTCTCTGCCTGTTAAAACAGTTCTCTATTCCTGGAAATTCTCTTTTGCTTCTCACATATTTAGGAACAATGTACATGTAACGGTATTAAATAAGAAACACTATAAATATTGCTAATGGTTTGAGAGGCAACGAGTCTTAACATATCTTTGTTGACTAGTGTTACATTAGCAATGGATGAAATATTAAACACACTCCTTAAAAGTAGGAAATACCCACCACTTTTAAAATTACCTTACAAGGCCTTGCCAATGCAATGAGACATGAAACAGAAATAAAAAGACCTTCATTGAAAATTGGAGAGAAAATTTTCATTACTTGGAAATAAATTTGTATATATTGAAGATCTGAGAGAAGTTAAAAAATAAAAATTAATATGTTTAATAAACTGATTAGAAGTCAGAGATATCCAAAACCCACATTTCTTTTGCATACAAACATAGTTTGATATACTATACAGTTTTGTTTCTTTGTATTTTATTGGTTAGTGAGATAACAAATAGAAAAATTGTTTGCAATGTCAAGTGAGAGAACTAGGAGAGAGGGCAGTGCCATAAAATGGGAGAAAAACGCTACAAGGAGGGCATAGTAGCCGCGGTAAATGTCAGAGAGGCATCCGGCACAGTGACTCCTCAGATATCGCCAATGGTCTGGAGCAGTGGTCAGCAAAATCATTAGTCAACAGAGCCTAATATCAACAGTACAACGATTGAAATTTCCTTTGAGAGCCAAATTTTTTAAACTTACACTTCTTCTAACGCCACTTGTTCAAAATAGACTCTCGCCCAGGCTGTGGTATTTTGTGGAAGAGCCACACTTGGGGGGGCCAAAGAGTCACATGTGGCTCTCGATCTGCAGTTTGCTGACCACAGGTCTGGAGTCACTGGCTTCTTTGTTGAGCCGGGTAGGTGACGTGGAGGAGGTGAAAGCCAGACCAGAGTGACTGAAGAAGGAATGGCATGCAAGGGCCAAGACGTTTATTTGACTTTGTAATGGAAGAAAGGAGTTTTAGAATTGTGTTGTTGTCGTTACTATTTTGTCATTTTGCTTCTTGTGGGCGCCCTTTGTTAATCTGTCCTGGGAGGCTGAAAACATCTCAGAGGCGGCTCTGCCTCTGTGAGCCCTGCAGTGCATGACTGTTATGTTTAATTCATGATTGTGAATGAAAGTTTTAGGGCAGTCGTTAGTGGGCAAGATGTAGGATGAATTTCAGGGCTTTCTCATTTATTCTTCTAAGCAGCTCTATCTTTTTAAAAATATATATTTTATTGATTTTTTTATAGAGAGGAAGGGAGAGGGATAGAGCGTTAGAAACATCAATGAGAAAGAAATATCGATCAGCTGTCTCCTGCACACTTCCTACTGGGGATGTGCCCGCAACCCATGTATATGCCCTTGACCGGAATTGAACCTGGGACCTTTCAGTCTGCAGGTCTATCCACTGAGCCAAACTGGTTAGGTCTAAGCAGCCCTAGCTATGAGACATGCTGTGCTGCTCCTCTCTCTGTCTCTCATCTCACCGCCGTTATTTACGCCTGATGGGGCTTTTTGTTTTCCAGCTGTGAACTCTCCGTCGTGGCACCTCATGATGCTTCTCCTGCGGAGTGTGTGATGAGGAGCGGCGTGCGGCTGTGGAGTTCTCGGAAGCAGCGGCGTTGCTGGGGACGCGGAGCCCAGCGCTGACCACTGGAGAGCCCCCACACGATGAACAAACTGAACTTCCACAACAACCGAGTCATGCAAGACCGCCGGAGTGTGTGCATTTTCCTTCCCAACGACGAGTCTCTGAACATCATCATAAATGTGAGTGGGTCCCACCTTAGAAACGTTTAAATAATTGTGTGCCCACCAGTGACCGCATTCTAGTTATGACTTGGTTAGTTAAGGGGTGAAGCTATTACAGAATGAGACCATTAATAATCTGGCGGGTTGGGTGCTAAAGTAGTCCACACAGGTATGAACTCTGAATTATGGGTGAAGTGCAGCTGACTTCAATATTCTCTCACTTGGGGTAAAATTAGAGAATTTTGGCTACTATATTCTAGCAAAACCGACACTGGTATTTTTAAACGTTTTATAGAAATATAATTTTTATTGATATATTAGAGGTCTGGTGTATGAAATTAGTGCATGGGGGGGCAGGTGGTCCCTCAGTCCGGCCTGCTGGCTCCTCATGCTCACCTATCTGCCTGCCTGATTGCCCCTAACTGCCTCTGCCTCAGCCCCCACTGCTGTGGCTTCGTCCGGAAGGATGTCTGGAAGGTCATTCGTCAGTTCGGTCTAATTAGCATATTACACTTTTATTATTATAAAAGATAATATGAATTTTCTTTTTAAATACTTTTGAGTTGTACCTACACACATGAAATAGTAATAAATTGCTAGCTTTTCAATGTGTTTTGGTGAATGTTTTAATAGTAGCCTAAGTCTAGCCAATTTCATGAACAGGTTGTGCTTATGAACATTAAACTGTTGCTTGTGCTTCATGAATCAAAGTTAATTCTCGTTAGTTCACCCTGGAGATTAAGGAATATGACATTTTTTTTTAATTTTAAAAATTGAGTTATAATTTACATGCAACAAAGTATAGGAATCTTGAGCATGCAGCTCAATGAATTTTTATAAGTGTGTACATCCTTGTAATCATCATCCAACTTAGATATAGTACAGTTCCAGCACCCCAGAAAGATCTTTTGTGACTCTTCCTAATCAATAATCTCTACCCATAGGGTAACAACTGTTCCCACCTCTATCACAATAAAGTAATTCTGCTTGTTTTTGAACTCCATGCCACAGAAATTATGTGCTACTAGAGAGGCCTGGTACACGGATTCATGCACGAGTGAGGTCCCTCGGCCTGGCTGGTGATCGAGGCCTTCTAGGGGGCCAGCTGGCAGGGGGAAGGGAACCTGGGAGGTAGGCCACTCGGCCCCCCAATTGGGGCTGATGGAGGGGCCGGCCATGGGGAAAGGCCATAGGGAGGGGCCTTGGGAGTGCACTGACTATCATGGGACAGCTCTTGTGTTGAGCGTCTTCCCCCTGGTGGTTAGTGCACGTCATAGCAACTGGTCAACCAGTTCCAGTTGTTTGGTCATACCGGTTGCTTAGACTTTTATATAGATGTACTCTTTTGTATCTGGTTTCTTTCACTCAACATTTGACCTGTAAAATTCATCTATTTCATTGCAAGTAATAGTAATTCTTTCTTTTTCGTTGTTGTATAATATTCTGTTGTGTGAATATGCTAATATCTTTAACCATTGTTGATGGGTATTGGGTTATTTTAAATTTAGGACTATTATGAATAAAAATGTTACGAACATTTTATGTGTATGCACACATGTACACATTTCTGGGCTTATACCCAAGAGTGGAATCGTGGATCCCAGGGTATACATATGTTTAGCTTTGGTAGAGACTGCCAAACAGTTTTATGGTAATCAATAGCATGCCTAGCATTTTTCATTCCCTCTCCTTATTATCAACTTTCATTAATTGTATTCTAATGGAATTAAGGGGGGAAATTGCCTTAGCATATGCCTTGAATTTGTTGGGGTTTTTGTTGTTGTTTGTTTGTTTGTTTTTGCTTTATACCACTATATTTTAAACCAATTACTGTATAAAAGAATATTTCTAAATGTTATACTGAATACATATGGCATTTAAAAAGCCTCACTAAGCAGTTTAGATGGAAAAAGGTTCTTGCTTATTAACTATTTTGGCTTTATCCTGACAATCACTACAGTTTCTTGATTTACTAATGCAACCTTGTTTTTGCTTATAAGGGTTGTCTGAAAATCAAACCTGCCTATTGAGTTAACTTTATCATCTGTTGGGCAGAATTTGTATTAATGAGGTACTCAGCGTACCTGGCTGTTTTTGATGTGTGAAATGACAAACTATTATTTTTGCAGCATTTGGTTTTTAAAACCTAATAAAAATTGGCAATATATATTTCTATTTCACTGTGGGCACTGGCAAAATATATATTAAAATGTAATTTATTTATATATGTGAGTATGCTATTTCAGTTCCTTTACACAGTTATATAAAAATGTACCCACTAAATTTTAAAAATATGCATACTCATATAGCATAAGCACTTAAGATACTTCTCTCAATTCCATTTCTATCATTTTACCTGGTGAAATATGTATACATGAGTTTATGTGTATTTATATATACACATACAGGAGATGGAACAAAACTTCACTGATCTCAGTTAAGTGGAAGGAAGACTAATCTGACTTCACAAGGAATACTAAAAGCTGACTATAATTTTCTAGGAAATTAAATTGTACTAAAATCTCAGGTGAGGAAGATAATTGTAGAAAACAGATTGGAAGATAGTCAATCTGTTCATTGTTATACATCAGTGGCTTTAAAATTTTAATGTACATCAGAATTATTTGGTGGGCTTGTTAAATATTCAGACCGCTAGGGGCCCAGTGCATGAATTGGTGCACCTTCAAAGGAACTGTGGGCCTCGAGGCTGCAGTGGGCACAGGGGCAGGTCTCAGCCATCCTTTGTGTCCCCGCCTGGCCCCTCCTGCCGCAGCCCCTGGTCCCCTGTCTGCCGGCGGCCCTGCTCCCACCACTGCCGCTTCCACATGCTGATAGCGCCAGCCCCACTTGCAGCCACTGATGGCACAGCACAGAGCGATTGGGGCCAGCACCAGCAGCAGGTGCGAGTGAGTCCGGCGCCATCAGTGGGTGTGTATGGGCTCAGTCCCCAGTAGGGGGCGTGCAGGAGGCTGCCGATCAATGATTCTCTCTCATCATTGATGTTTCTCTCTCTCTCCCTTCCTCTGTGAAATCAATAAAAACTTATGAAAAAGAAAAATAAAGATGGAACCTGCATAAAGGACGGTGCCCAGGCACTCTGAGCTGTTTGCTGTTTCAGTTGGGGCGCCTTGTTAATGAAACTCACAGGGAGAGTCTGAGTCTGTTAGGCCTGTTCTTCTTCCAGGGGGTGTAGATTCCTTTGCCATGTCCAGATTCCTCTCCATCAAGCCATTGGACCCCAGGAGGGAGGGCTGGGCTACGGAGTGTGGCAACTCCTCACTGCCAGCAACCCCATTCAAGGTTGCCAGAAAGTAGCAGTTGATGTCTTAGAGTTGTGGTATCACAAATTAAGTGTAGCAAAATCTATTTCATGAATGGTCTACTTTTTCATCATTTGTAAATAGTGTTTTACATAAAGACAGTTTACTCCCTGACAGGCATAGTTGATAGGATGTTATCTTCTGCGGGTGGGGTGAGTTTAGTGTCTTGAAGATTCCGAATTCTCCATGAGTTGAACTGATAAGGAGCTGTTTTAAATTATTTTAACCAGCAGATAAATATTAAACGTGGAAACTTGGAAAACATGGGAAATAAAATCATGCCAAATGTAAGGACCACCAAAGTTTTGAGTGGTGTAAATTGTGACCAAGAGCTTGCACCTCTTCGCTAAGACCAGAGTGAAGAGCTTTTTTGGTTTCTTTTCTGGAACATATTTACAACATTTCTGCTCAAAACAAACCATTGATATTTAGGATCAAATACTGTTTTTATTAAAAACTTCCAATGGCAGAGTATACCTTTAGGTACTACCTTAATTCTTACTACCTCATACTCTATAGCACTTTTTTAAAGTTTCCATTGCTGCTGAAACCGGTTAGGCTCAGTGGTAGAGTGTTGGTCTGCGGACTGAAGGGTCCCAGGTTCGATCCAGTCAGGGGCATGTACATTTGTTGCGGGCACATCCCTGGTGGGGGGTGTGCAGGAGGCAGCTGGTCGATGTTTCTCTCTCATCGACGTTTCTAGCTCTTTAGCTCTCTCTCTTCCTCTCTGTAAAAAATCAATAAAATATATATTTTTTAAAAATAATAATAATAAAGTTTCCATTGCTCCTAAAGATTAAATAATGAAAAATTTCACAACAGCTAATGTGTTGTCATAGAAGATTCATACTAAGCCAGAACAAGCTTGTTCTCACGGCAGGTGAGTCTACAAAGCACAGCGTTGCTAATTGCAATTTTTAAACAAGAACACTGTGCTTACCTGCTAGTTATTAAAGAGCTTTATCAGCAGGCTCCAAGTGCTTGATTTTAACCTGCAGAACAATAGTGATAATAATTATAGGGGAAGTACGGAGGAAATGTACAGCATTATTTGAACAGCAGTTACACAATACAGCCTAGGTTATGCTCACGGACAGTTTGTGGTTTAAGAATTGTTCTGTGAACTTTTCATCACATTTTTTTTTATCACATTTTTTATCTTAAGTGCTCTGTGTCTGACATTTTTAGCTACAGTCAAAACTAAGAATTGGAGGTGCCCTACACTGTATGACATTCTAAGACTCAAATTTGTAGTATATAGTTCAATTTTATGTAACAACTGATATTTTTTCCTTTACTAGTCTGTTTATTGAAGCTTATTTTTAAAGTGCAATTACGGTGCTCAAGAACTCAAAATCCAAAGCCCTTTTAATGAATGAAGAGGATGATGGTTTCCTACTGGTACATGTGTCCTCCCAGTGGTGTTGGGTTTGCATTCATACATTTCCCCATTTACTACATGGTCTGCCTGCTCAGTGGTCCGAGAGCAGTCTGGAGTCGTGGGACAGAGCTAAAGGAGCCACAGGGAAATCACACTCCTGGCTTTTATTCATCAAGTATTTACGGAGAGCCTACGGTATGTCCTGGATATAAATAGGACATCTTTCCTAACCCCCCAAATTTGTCTCTGGCCTTAACATACAGACCTTTTGCACTTCCCAGCGGATAAAGTGTTTTAGATTAATTGTCAGCTAGTAATGACTGTGGAAAAGAGTAGTGCGCCTAACTTTCCTTACCCCATTGGTCATTGTCACCATTCTGAACTGTTGGGCTGTCAGTTATTGAGGAATCTCAGCATGTTTTTATTCTCCAAATCTGAGTTACATATTAAAATAATGGTAAAAAGTCATGAATTCAGAATGAACCAATTTAGAATTTATAGTAATTATCATTGAAGACAGAATTTGCAAGTTGTAGAACAAATGAGAAGTGAAGTGCCACCGTAATGGAAATAGCTGAAATGATAAACTGTCACTTTGCACATGTTTTAACATACACATATAATAATATTGCAGTACACAGATTAGCAGAGTTGTGAATTGCTGCCTTTGTCACTTGACCTTAAGCTTTCTGGGTCTTATTTTTTTTACTTCTATAAAATGAAGTAATGACCAATAGGGTCTCTTAAAGTCAGTTCCAACTCTAATGAGCTTCAGTCATTCTGAATTCAACCAAGTATACTCAGCACAATTTCTATCTCCCAAAACACTTCATTAAATATTTGAGAAGTCTTAAAACTATATCTTGTAAGGATTGTTTTATCATTCAACATGTGACTTTTCAGAATAATTTACTCCCAGGGTTTCAGATTAATGTGGTTTAATGATGTTTGATTTAAAGTAGAATTCAGAAAGGGGGCCTGGTTTAGGTACCTAAAAGTGTAAGACAATAAAATGATTAATTAAGATAAATAAGAGCTAGGCATTCATGTATTGTATAATATATGAGTATTTTGCTTAGGCTGTCACGAGGAAAACTTTCCTTATAAAGATACTTGCTAAATTTGATCATCTGAGTAGGCTGTTTTGGGTTCCTTCCGAAATACTTATCGCATACCATAATGGGTTTAGACTAAGGCCTTGCCCAATGTATCATGAAATTTATGAGTTTCCTACAGATTGCATTGGGACTTTTATTACCATGTTGTAAAAATTTGTATTGTGATAATCATTATTAAAACTCAGCCATGGATTAAAGTGGACGATTTTTTATGTATCTATAATAATAAAAGCATGACATGCAAATTAGACCAGATATCCTTCCGGACAAAATCAGGACTGCGAGGGAAGCCTGGTTCCCAGGTGCCTGCCAGTGGCCAGAGGGAAGCCAGTGCCGACAGCTGGGGGAAGGCCTACTCTTAGACAATTTTATACATCAGGCCTCTAAATATATATATATAATATATATAATATATATTATATATATAATATATATTATATATACGTATGTATTTTTTAATTTATTTTTTTATTTCAGAGAGGAAGGGAGAGGAAGGGAGAGGTAGAAACATCAATGATGAGAGGGAATCATTGATCGGCTGCCTCTTGCACACGCCCTGCTGGGGACCGAGCACACAACCTGGGCAGGTGCCCTTGACCAGAATCAAACCTGGGACCCTTTAGTCTGCAGGCCAGTGTGGTAACCAATGAGCCAAACTGGCTAGGGCTAAGTAGACACTTTCAATAAACTTAACAGTTCTTTTGCTAGTGTCAGCTTATCCTTTCAAGGAATCTATTTAGGATGCATTAAATTGCCCAATTGTGGTTCACTGTGTGGATGCCGTTGAATTATTATCTCAAGTTGTATTTTTTCCCCCGTAGGTTAAAATTCTGTGTCACCAGTTGCTGGTCCAGGTGTGTGACCTACTCAGGCTAAAGGACTGTCACCTGTTTGGACTCAGTGTTATACAGAGTAAGTCTTACCCTCATCTCTCATGGATTCAGCCAACTGTCCCAAAGGAAGTGACATTTTACACCTGTCACTTAAGTTGGGCATATGTTATGAAATTGTGATTCCAAAAATACCCATAAACTGATCATCATTTTTTGTCTAATATTCATTTTTTAATGAGTAAAGTCTTGTGTATTTTTTTTTACAAGATTTTGAATCTTAGATCATGCATTTATTATAGTTTGAACTTAAACATTCTTTCCTCTTTAGGAGTCTGGATTTCATGACTTTGCTCTTTTATGTTGTAAAGCTCGATTTTTGTTTCCCTGCACAGAGGGAGCAGCTGGAGCGAGTAGGAAATTAGCTTGGATATTTTAGTAATTTAATTTGTTTTATAATTTGGGGCATGAAAAGAAATGTAGACACAATAAAACTGACTTTCCTCTATTCAGATTCACTTGCTAATGACTGTATAACAAAGTGTCCTATTAATTCCCTCTAATTCAGATTCACTTGCCATTGACTATATAACAGAGTGTTCTATTGATTTACTCTTATTTTCTGTTTGTTCCTCCTTATCCCTTCTCTTATCTCCAGTTGGAATCTACAACTTTGAGAGACGGGATCGTTTTCTTCTTTGTACTTTATGTGGAGAAGGTGGTCGAGGAAAGGGCTTCTCTGCCCTGCCACCGTAGAGTTTAGGTCCCAGGGTTTATCTGCAGCCATTTCTTATAAACGTTCTTCTTTCAAAGAGTAATTTAAAGTTTCTCTAGGTCCTGGCTGGTGTTGCTAAATGGTTAGAGCTTCCGTTAGAACCGATCAATGTTTCTTTCTTATTATACATTGAGGTCTCTCTCTCTCCCGTTCTCTTTCTAAAATTTAAAAGAAAAAAAAAATCCCTCTAATTTAATCTTCTAGATACCAAAAACCTTTCATATCTTTGTTCAGTTTTTTGAGGAAAATTTTTTGTGGAATGTTTTTGTATGTACACTTGGCTATAAATTATTTTTTTGCTACAGGAATTAGTTTAATGTTAAGGCTTACGGTATCTTGAGAAAATGGTTAGCACCATAAAATGCTTAGATCTGTCAGATTGGAAAGTGTGTAATGATCGACTGGTAAGCAAGGCTCTGCTCCTCCCGAACATGAGCTGTTTTCAGTGTTTTTAGGTGAGGCCGGAGCAGGGAACATGTCAGGAACCCACGAATCAACCATTTGCTCTTCGCTTTCTTCCCACGGTGGTTACTGCAATAAAAACACAAATGCACAGCTCCATCCCAGCATTAGGACACACCTCAGTCATTCTTTCAAGAGCCTGGGAGGATATAAGACGCCCTGTGGATTCTGAATAACTTCACGTTCACTCCGCTCTGAGGGTCATTCTTCTGACCGCACAGGCAGACTGTTGGTCTTTGTTGTTGAACAAAGTCAGTCTAATAAAACCAGTTTACAGCTTCCTTTGGATTCATTCGAAAGAAGGATCTGGAAGGTGTTCTTTTTAAAAGAGAGACTAACATGGCGAAAGGACCTTGGGACAGGAGTCTGATGACCTGGTTCTAATTCTGGTTCTGCAGCTTGCTAACCATGTGGCTTCAGACATGTCACTTGCCTTCCCCCGTTTCAGTTTTCTCGCTTGTGGAATGGGAACTGCTGTGCCACCTGCTTCGCGGGACTGGTGTGTGCGCTTCAGATTTCTCAAAGAACAAAGCTCCGGCCAGACTGTCTGATGGCAGGGGCAGGGGCACTTGGAAACTAGGCATGTGCTGTGGTGGTGAGCAGCAGTCTCAGTTCTACTCCCTGGGCTGCATCTTCAGACGCGAACTTGAGCCAAACAAATCAGGTTCAGCGGGAAGGTTGTCTGATCTTGTCCATTTCGTGTTTAATCAGTAACACAGGCAAGAGGAGCCATGGTTGTTAGTCAGTCTGATAAGTGGATTGAAGCAGCATCGCTCTCTTTCTCGGGCACCTTTTTCCTACCCCGTCAATCACATTGGTTGGTTTCATGTGGCCAGTTATAGACAGAGAGTAGTTTCCCCCTTCCTGCTCTCTTCTGGCACTTTTCTAGTCGAACCCCAGCTTTCAGCCAGGAGCGACAGTGTGGCCAAGTGTGTCTTCCTTGGAGGGGTCCAAGAAATACACTTCCCTTCCAGAAGGAGTACATTTTTAAGTGGAGCTTCCCATGAGCCTGCCCCTTTGGTGAGGATGAGAGAAGAAGAAATGAGCTTTTAAGGGGGGGGGGAGGGGGAAGATTAAAAACTTTTGTGCAAGATAGGAATGCTGAAGGCTTTTCTTGTGAAATAAATCTCCCTTAAACCAGTCTCTTGGAGAAGTCTGAAAAACTCTTATATTTTTATTAGCTTGTTTTCACATGTTTAGATCATGTTGACATGGGTTTTTAGCAGTCTGGTGTTCTGTGCGTCTTGAAGAACTATGTTGGCATTCATTCTTGTTTTGCCTAAGATTCTTCTCCTCTTCCCACAAGATCAATCCCAAAGGCAGTGTGAGTAATGGCTCATCATTCTGTCACGCTGTGTTTTACGGGAGAATATACTCGGGGACTGCTCTTCATAAAGCAGGGGCCAGGCCCCCTGCTTGGAAACGTGTGGTTATTATCAGCGTTATCTGATTTCTTGTGCAGCAGTGAGGATGGCGTTTCTGCACCATTTCATTATTGTTGCGTGGTGGGAAGCGCCTTCTGAGAGCTAGACAAAAGCACGTTTTTTTGTAAAACAAGTAATGTCCAGTATTGGAAGTTATGACCCTCAAAACTAAGTATAAATAGGAAACCGTATTTCTTCTAAGTATTACATACTTTAATAGTTTGTGTGCTGTATTACAATAAGCAAATAATTCATAAAGGGCCTCATTAATGTCTAGCTTGCAGGACTTATGTCTTCGTATCTTGTTGCGTTTTCTCGGTAGTATGTGAATTCAGAGTGCATTCATAAGTCTTGAGGCTTTCTTTGAAAAACCTGTTTCTTTGTGTATTCTTTTCCTTTAGAAAAAAAATAAACATTTTTTTTATCACCTGTCTCCTTGTTTAACGTGCAGATAATGAGCATGTGTATATGGAGCTGTCACAGAAGCTTTGTAAGTATTGTCCGAAAGAATGGAAGAAAGAGGCCAGCAAGGTACGACCATACGAAGTCTCTTGGGTGAGATTACATTTATGAGCAAAATTACTTTGATTTTTTTAAAAGGTTAATTTGAGCTATTCTACATTAAAAATATTTTAAACCGCATTTTATGCAGTAGAGAATGAGAAAGGGAAATGGATTCTTAAAGATCCAAAATGTCACATCGATGAAGTATTAATAGCATCCAACTAGATTTGGGATATCTGTTTTAAGTAATGCTAGATAATAACTTTTCGATAACCATGGGATAATGCGTTGACATGGAAAGGTACATGTGCTCTTCTGTGGCTGTGTTAGTTGTGCAAACTGATGTTCTATGCAGGATTAACAACTTTTGCATCTACTTTTACTGCCCTTCCATTTGATACTTTGTTACTTGATTGCACTGGTGCCTCTCCTCAGTAAACATGGAATCTATTGACCCGGGGGAGCACTCACGGGGATTTACCTTGTGTTCTCAGGATCTCCCTCCTAAGTCAGGAATAAATCCCTAGAGCCTCCAATTTGTACTTAAGAATTCCTGGAATAAACTGGAAGGCCACTTCAAAGCTAACTACAAAGCAGGGAGCACGAATGTCTAAGTAAACAAACAGCATATTAGGATTTGGTATGTGGAATGTCAGAGGCACAAGAGAACATTTGTAATGAGGAGCAAATGGTCACCACAGGGGACAGCGCTGAGAAAGGAGCTGGATCCCAGCTAGAAATTTCCACTGGCGTTTATTTTTATCTCCCCTTCTGTTGTCATTGGCATTACAGTGAATGAGTATCAGATACAGTAATGATGCTTTATGACTTCCTGGTTTTGCCTGAGTCTGGTATCCATATGGAACCACTGCCTGCAAGGCCACACTCACCAGGGGTAGATAAAACCTTTCCGTGTTTAAAAAGTAGCTTGTAAATAGTGGTAAGTTATTACTTTTGAAAAATAGCTTGATTTTTTTTATGTGACTTTGTTTTAGGGAATTGACCAGTTTGGACCTCCTATGATTATCCACTTCCGAGTACAGTACTATGTGGAAAACGGCAGACTGATCAGGTATGAGGACAGCGAGAGAGTCTGAACCTGTCTTTCCCATGCACTCATCTTCCCACACAAACCAGTGTGTGTGTGTGAATATATATATATATATGTTATTGATTTCTGAGGTGAAGGAGAGGGAGAGAGACAGAAACATCAATGATGAGAGAGAATCATTGATTGACTGTTTCCTGTACACCCCTCACTGGGGATCGAGCCCGCAACTGGAGCATGTACCCTGACCTGAAATCAAACCGTGACCTTGTGGTTCATATGTTGACACTCAACCACTGAGCCACACCAGCCGTGCTGTCTCATAGGTTTCATTTTTATTTTATTTTAATTTTTTTGTTAATCCTCACCTGAGGATATTTTTCCATTGATTTTTGGAGAGAATGGAAGGAAAGGGGAGAGACAGAGAGAGAGAACATTGATGTGAAAGAGACACATCAGTTGGTTGCCTCCCACATGTGCCTCAATCGGAGCTGGGGATTGAGCCTGCAACAGAGGTACATGTCCTTGACCAGAATCGAACCTGCGACCCTTCAGTCCTTAGCCCTGCCTGAAGTTCTATCCATTGAGCCAAAGTGGCTAGGGCAGTGGATTTTTTTATTTTTTAAAGTCTTTTTGCATGTGCATGCATCCTCAGGTCCTCCAATAAAGGTACAGTTTACACTCAGTAAATACTTGTTAGATAAGTGAATGGCTAGCTGACTCACATTCTCTGTACTCCCCATTTTCTTTTTTTTCTTTTTTAATATATTTTTATTTATTTCATAGAGAAAGGGAGAGAGAGAAAAAAACATCAGTGATGAGAGGGAATCATTAATTGGCTGCCTGAGAGTCTGAACCTGTCTTTAGACAGAGCCCGCAACCCAGGCATGTGCCTTTGACCGGAATCGAACTTGGGACCCTTTCGTCTGCAGGCCCACGCTCTATCCACTGAGCCAAACCAGGCTAGGGCTGCACTTCACATCTTCAATAACACATAAGTCACCAAAAAGATACTTCAGGAAGGAACTAGCACTTTTGTGAAGAGTAATGGATGAAAGGATTACATTCCTCTTTGTTGGGGGGGAGGAGGGGCGGGTCGAGGGCAGCAGCAAGAACTCTCTCCTATAAAAACGCATGGGTGTTTGCAGTCTGGTTTTCTTTTCACTGTGGGGGTCTTACTCTGTTCTTGGCAGTAGCTTTAAAGCTATGGTTATGCCCGGTGGAGTCATCCTGTGAGAATCTTAGATGCCATTTGGCGAGGGCAGGTAATTGATTCTTTGTCTGGACATCGCTGCCTGAACAATAATACTATGCCCGTGATACACACTCAGAGTTCACTATTTTAAAAGCAAGCTTAGGAGGAGTCAGTGCTGGAAACGTTCAGAGGTGATCTTGTCAGTTGATAGAAAATACTAGAAATGTGTACTCTTGAGTTTTACTTATTTCCTATTAAACTTTGAGAAACCCCTTGTAACAGACAACAGATACATTTGGCTAGTGAGTTACATGTGAAAATTCGCTCTTAATATTGATACCATCACCATAGGCACATTACAAAGTAAAATATATTGGTCCATAAAGAACTTTTTAAAGACCGAGAAAGTTTTTAATTATTCTCAGTTTATATAAAGTTCTTACTCAATTTACCTACTACGTATGGAATGCACTTTACTCCATTTACCGATGAAGTATGGCATTAACCGCCTGGGGCTAATGAATGTTTAATTCATCCCAATACTTCTGCCCTTTCCCCGCTGGGATGAACTAGTCCAAACACTGTGTGGTCAGCATTATAAAAAGAAGTGCTCTGAAAAGTACTCCGTGCCAAGGGGAGAAAAAAATTACATAAACGGTTTTATTTTTATTCTCTTTTGTTTGTTCCTGTCAAATGCTTTATTTTTAAACTCTTCATAACTTAAACACGATGTTGGTTCCAATAAACCCATATGTTTTTATTATCATCCGCTATTGTACTATGAATCTAAGGTAAAACACTCGGCCTACAGTAATAAAGAGGCCAATAAGCGCATTAAATATACACCTACGTTTTTTCTTGCATTTCTGCTTTGATCACAGAAGTGTCCTGTGTGCCTGTGACATCTTTTGGAGCTAGACCACGTTTCCCCCAGTCAGCACTTCCTGCTCCACATGTCTAACGGGGACTGTATTTATGTCTGACCTCAGTGGACTGTAATGAGCGCCCTGCTAGCATTTCCACTTTTGAGGAGTATCGTGGTTGTCATAACATGTGCCTATTAAAGCACACCCATTAAGTGACACCCACTTAATAACAATAAAAAAAAAAAGATTTAAGGGAAACATTTTTCAGTTCATTCATTCTGAAAGGGGGTGGGGGGAATCACACCATTTGTAGTTAATTTTCTTTTTTCTAGACAGTCTCATAAACATTTTTAAAGGGACCGTAGAGCATTTGTAATGTGCTCAGCTGAAAAACAAAAAAGAATAGCAAAACATTAAAGCCAGGGTTGGGTTGTCCCCTCGGATTTGTCCTTATTTATATGATGTGTACAGCATTTTGTGATAAAATCATCTTACTACAACTAACTAATACCTAGGCTTCTGTTATCATCCTTGCTTCATGAAATATTACAGTGGAAGGATTCAGACCGTTTTTTCCAGTCTCTGAATGAATCGACTGTTCCGGGTCTTAGGAAATGTGATTTTTGCCGCCGGGGTAGCCTGACTTAGAATTCAGGGAGGCGGTGATCAGGGGTTCCTACAGCCTCCCCTTGTTCCCGTGAGCGGGAAGGCGCGGGGAGCAGGGGGCAGACACAGAGAGAGCCCTTGTCAGCAGACGGGTGGCAGGATCTGGGTTCTGTTTACATGCCATTGGATCATACCATCAAAATGTGTTTTCTTTTATTCTCCCAGTGACAGAGCAGCAAGATTCTATTATTACTGGCACCTGAGAAAACAAGTGCTCCATTCTCAGTGTGTGCTCCGCGAGGAGGCCTACTTCCTGCTGGCAGCCTTCGCCCTGCAGGCTGACCTTGGGAACTTCAAAAGGAATAAGCACTTTGGAAAATACTTCGAGCCCGAGGCTTACTTCCCATCTTGGGTAAGGCGCTGTTTTCAAATTCTAAAGTGTTTTCTCTTAGCATGCTTCTACGACATTGTGCTGTGACTCACGACTCACGCTGCTTCAGGAAATGGGAACCCAGATGTTTTGTGGCCAGGGAAACCCTTCATGATGCGCAAAATATAAGTGTAAATCTTAAGACACACGCTGTCTTCGTAGACATGGCTGGCTTGCAGTCAGTGCGGAAGGAGATTGCTCTCCATTCTAAACATGCTGGAGCGTGGAGGGTGCCAGCCCGCGTTTGGTGTTTGCAGGGCCTTGATCTTCTTTATTCTTAATTTGAGCAGCATTTTCTCCTTTCCAGTCAACCCCACTGTAAATTGAAAATATGGTTAAGTCAAGAGGCACTCAATACGCCTAACTTTGAACATCAGAGCCTAGCCTGGCCCACCTTAAATGTGCTCAGAACACTTCCACTCACCTACAGTAAGGCCAAGTCATCGACACAAAGCCTGTTTTGTAACCTCCTGTGATTTTTTGAATACTGTACAGAAGGTGAAAAACAGAATGGTTGCTTGGGTCCCCAGCATTAGTGAGCACATCTGGAGGCTGAACACAGCCCAGAGTGTGTGTGAAGCCTTGAACTAAAGCAAAAAAAACTAAAATTAAAAAAATGCTGGTGACTCAGTGAGCACAGAGTGTCCATTGTTTACCTCTGTGACCCTGTGGCTCACCACCACCACCCAGCATCACAAGAGAACACTGAACTGCAGATCACTAGTTGGGGGGCGGGGGGGACTTCAAAATTTGAAGTTCATTTCTCTGCTTTCACACCATAGTCAAGAAATCGTAAGTCGAGCCATCATGTGTGTGAGTCAACTCCTTGCTCTGACCACCATCTCCTTACTTCAGCGAGAAAATTTAGGTTATTCCAGCATGACATTCAACTCTACTTTCCCTACCCCAGCCAGTCTGCTCTGTCCTGTCCTTCCTCCAGATCTCTGCTGTAACTGCTTTCTCTCACCTTTACCCTCTGCTCTTCAGTCAGAGCATACATGACATGCTTGGTTTGCATCCCCATCCTCAGGAAGGAAAGAAAGGAGGGAGGGAGGGAGAGAGGGAGAAAGGAAAATGCTTCCCTTCTCAGTAACACTTCTTGAAAAAGTGACGTCTATTTGGTGTTCTAGCTTCTTTGCTTCCCACATGTACTCAACCCACCTCCATCTGCCTGCCCGCCCCACCGCTCCATTCATGGGTCCCTCAGGTCACCAGTGACCTTTAAATGGCCAAATCCAGTGACCACTTTCACTTCCTGAATTTCTCAGCTGCCCTTGACACGTCAACCCTCCCGATCACGGGAGATTTCATCCAACTGAATGCTTTTAACAGCCACCTCTCCCCTGTGTCCGTGAGATAGCAGTTCACCCGGAGGCATCTCAGATTCAGAATGTGCAGAGTCAGACTCATCTTCTTCCCACCACCTCAGTTCTGTGATTCCTGCCTCAGTGTTTCTAACTTCAGCTGGCGGCACTGCCGTCCACCCAGGCACCCAGGAACTTGAGGGTCACACAGAGCTCCCTCCCTGATCACCCTTCCTTCTCCCCATCCCATCCACTCAACCAGAACGTCTTCTTACACAAACAGCTGATAACCCATCACCCAGCTTAAGAACTAAAATTATCTTGTATTTTTGTTAACTGCCTATATGTTTGTCTATCTATCACATCCCTTCCTATTCCACTGCTCCTCCACCTCCCAGCTCTTGGGAGTTCTCAACAGCCCTGCTGGGGAGGCTTGCTTTTGCTTCGATGGAGGCCTCCAGGGCTCCCCTGTCACCTGCGGAGTGCAGCCCCCTCCCAGGCATGCCTGAGGAGCTTTGCAGGACGTGGCCCCTGCCCGCCTTTCCAGGTTCCTTTCTGACTGTCCCACGCCTTGAATTTTATCAGTAGCCTCATCCTGTAATTCCCATGTCCCCACACCTGAGGTGCCTCACACTCGACCTGTCTTCCTCCAATTCTTTTAGCCTGTGCAGCCCCTCTCCCTGTCTCACCTCGCTCCTTCCAGCACTCAGCTCAGGGGGAGCTTCCTCGGGGCAGCCTGGCCGGTGCCAGCACCCCTCCTCTGTGCTCAACAAGACACTGGGTGGGGGTGTTTGCATCTTATTTTCAAATAACTGTTTATCTTTTGGCCCAACCCCAATAAACTTAGTGTTTCTTGGTATGTTCCAAAGGACAGACATAAATGTAACCTTCCCTGTTTGCTCAGCGCTTCACATTGAGGTGCTCAGTGTAGGTTTTTGTTGACCGACTGACAGTTGATCGGTAGTGCTTCCGTTGTTGGGAGAGAAACCGCAAAGGGTGTCAAGCTTTTACATAGCCATGCCTGTTGGGCCAAAATTAGCCTGCTTTTACATCCCTCGTTGTCATCACGTGCTCACTGAGCCTTGGGCATTTACCTCGGAGCTTCCCAGCAACGTGCTGTGGCATCCAGAGTGTCCAGGTCCCAGTGTCCTCAACCCTTGGGGTCACCAAAGTCACTGCTTCAGTGGCCCTACAAATGCTATTTTCTCTGTGTTCTCTGACCTGAACAAGGTTGGCAGGTACTGACATAGATGATGTTCATGTAAAAGGCATCTAGACAGAAAAATGTGTAATTTGAGTTCTCAGTAAAACTTGAAAATTGGCAGCAATGTATCATGCTTAATTCAATAGAAACAAAACGTCAGTATTTATAAAACAGTTTACTAGTAAAACTAAAATGCTCTAGTTTTGTTTTGTTTTTTATTCTGATGATTTTAAACATTACTCTGGTTTACATTGCGTAATCCCACAATTGATAATCCTTATGAAACCAGGTAGGACCTTTAACTATTCGACACCTTTGTCTTAGCCTGCAGCCGCTGGATGCTGTGTGCTTTTGACATCTAAAAGCTCAGACTACTGTCTGAAGAAAACATAAGTCACAGTGAATTACAATGAATGTATGAAATAAATTGCTTCCTCATAAGTGTTCTAAGAGACTGTTCATATCAGCCTCTTGTGCAAAAACCGCATGTTTCAGAGAATTTCTTGCAGTCCCCTGCTTTTTTTTTTTTTTTTTTTTTTTTTTTTTTTTTTTTGATTAACATTGAGTCTCCCACGCTGTGGCTGTGATTTTGGAAGAGTTAAGTAGGATCCAGAACCTGAAGATGTGCTGACAGGAGATGTATTTCATGATACCAGTAATTTTGCAAGAAGGAATGATATGCGTACAAAATTTTGCAAGTTTGCATGGTTTTGTTTTTGGTTTGATGTGGTTTTTTTTGTTTGTTTGTTTCTTGGTGAGTGGAAAGCCAAGAAAACATATTTTTCCCATTTCTTATTATTTTTTCTTCATAGCTGCTCAATACTGCAGCTCCATTGTCTTTGTCACTTTGAGTATTGGCTGATTCAGCCTAGTCCTATCACCGATGAAAGCAGAGTTGAAAGGGGGGATTTTCTAGTGGATGTTAGCTAGTTTATGTGGTTTAGTTAGGTCCCTGCCCTTCTGTCACTCGCAGGAGTGTACGCCTCCCGACAAATGTCACATTGCGTGCCCGTTGTATTCCAACAGGTTGTTGCCAAGAGGGGGAAGGACTACATCCTGAAGCACATCCCAAACATGCATAAAGATCAGTTTGCACTGACCGCTTCCGAGGCTCATCTGAAATACATCAAAGAGGCCGTCCGGCTGGACGACGTGGCCGTTCACTACTACAGGCTGTATAAGGTACAGGCGGCCGTGCCCGCTGCTTCCGAGGAAAACTCCTTCCCCCTCACAGGGGGCTTTACTGAACCCCTCCTCTCACTGAGAAAAGGGCTTTCAAAAGTTTCCCGTGACCGCTGTTTGTCTCCGCAGGCCACCTCGGGGGGGTGATGCTTTCTCTCGGCCTGGAAGAAGGGTGATTCTAATGTTGTGATAACATGGAGCTGCACACTGTGAACCTGGCTTTTCAGTGAAAAGAAACACCAGGGCTGTTTTCCTCCTCTCCAAATCTGCACTTCTGTCTCAGGGAGTGACCTTGGCAACTTCTTCGATCATTAGTTTTTAATATTTCCCAAAGTAAAGTCATACAGTATCATATCCATTAGTGACCAGAGCGTCACAACATCAGCTAATGCTTAGTGAGTCCTGTGTGTATGGGACACCCTTTCTATCTATCCTTTAAAAAAAATAATCCTCACAATTCTGTAAGATAGGAACTATAATCTTAATTTTACAGACCAGAACCAGACTGAAGGCCACAAAACTAGTAAGTGGCAGAGCCAGGATTCAACCCGGGTCTATTTGAAGTCGGAGCCTGTGTGCTTTCTCCACCGAACTCTCTGATGTTTGTCACTCCCTTTTGTGTCTAGCCTCATTGTTTCAGAGGTCAGAGGTCACACACCCAAATAACAGTTGGGGCCAGGCTCTGCAGGGAATCCCTCACACTACCTTTATGGGATCCTGTCTTCTCTCCTCCCTACTCATGGCCGTATTTCACTCCTAAATCCCCACTTCTGTATCCAGGGGTATATTCTCCAACCAAATAGGATGAAGCGGTACAGAGTGTAGTCTGTCCAGCCCCACTTGTGGGATTGACTCCTAGCTTCACCTCTTGCCTTAGACAAGTTACTTAATCTCTCTTCTTCAGTTTCCCGTAGTTAGATGGGGATGGTAATGGCCTACCTCTGAGGTTCATTGAATTGGTAAAGGACAATGGATAAAAGGTTCTTTAAGCAGTTGTTACCTTTGTCTCTGTTACTATGCTTGGTATCGCTCCATATTCTTTGCAGTAAGATTAGACCATTGGATATACTGATGGCGAGCATGTTGCCTGGTTCAGAAAACTTAGCAAGGAACCAGCGGTGGTGATTCTTCTCTCTTCCATGTTTAAGAGGTTCACTGTGAATGCCCCATCATCCTGGAAAGGCATAATTGAGCTCCATCATATCTTTTTGGCTAAATTCCTAAAGGACTTAGCTATCTGTTCGTTTTTTTCCTTAAATTTTATTTGTGACAATTTATAGGAGAAAATTCAAATAAATGACATGTTTGACAATCAGCTTATAATTTTAAACTGTATGATAAGTACTAAGAATGCATTGAAAAGACTGTGGCTTTGGAATCAGATATCCTGTATTATAAAAGGCTAATATGCAAATTGCCCCCTCAACTGGGACTTCAATGAACCCCGCAAAGCCTCTCCCCCCCAGCCAGGCCCGCCCCTGCCCCCAATCACCCCTCCCCCTCCCTTTGATCTAGGTTGGGGCCAGCCTGCCAACCTCCCATGTCCCCTTCCCCTGGCCAGCCTGGCCCCATCAGGGTGAGCTGGCCAGTCCCAACCCCTGCACAAATTTGTGCACTTGGCCTCTAGTCATTTAAAAACCCTGTATTACTACTGATTATTACTGGATCCTAAGTAAATATAACTGTAATCCTGAGCCATCTATTAAGTGGGAATGATTCCATACATTTCCAAGGTTGGGGAAAATTCTATGAGATAATGAATCTGAAATAACCAGGTGGAGGGTCTAGTACATTAGTGATTCTTATTTGATAAAGAAATTTAGTATTTAAAAAAATCCTATTGGCCCTGGCCAGATAGCTCAATTAGTTGGAGCAGCATCCCCTAAGGTTGTAGGTTCAAATCCCTGGTCAAGACACATACAAGAATCAAGCAATGAATGCATAGATAAGTGGAACAAATAGATGTTCTCTTACCCCTCTCTCACTCTCTTTCTCTTTCTCTAAAATAAATTTTAAAAATCCTATTAAGAGCCATTTAGTGAAGTAGATATCCTCAATTTATCTTGTGTAAAAATCTTTCAAACTTTCTTAAAGTGTGGTACTTCTACATGGCATGGAAAATGACTCTAGTCTGCTTAAAATGAGATAATTAATCATAGTAATGTAACTGAATGAAGTGGGAAATAGATATTATTGCCTCATGGGCAGAATTTTTATTCTTTGGAGAAGTCGACTGGAAGCCACTGAAACCGCTTCATTTAAGGCCTGGTTACAAAATAGAAATAAGGTAGGTGGACAATAGGAAATGTCCTGAAAAAGAAAAAAAGAAAAGAATCTGTGCTCTCTTTCCAGCACTGCACACCTCATACATGCACAGCCGGTGTTTTTATGAGCACAGTCTTACTTCAGGAAACAATGAGAACGGCCTTGAAAGGGAAATTGGCCTAAACTCATAGTGATGGATTAGTTTCTCTTACTATCTGTGCTTTTCGTGATGTAAAAATATCTTGGTTGGACCAAAACAACCCAAAGAGTAAAAATAGGCTATATCTTCTCTTTTCTGTGCCTGGTGAGGCTGCATTTTCAAAAAATACTTCTTAACCATGTTCATGGAGGAAATGGCACTGTAATAAAGATCTGTACATATTTATTGTTTTTTCCTGAGAAATCTTATGGTGAGAATAGTTTAGTTACTTAATAATAGTAGGTCTCTTTTATTTTATACTTTATATTTTATACATACTTTTACAGATGACCACTTAAAAAGATGTGGCCCAAGTTCTAAGTACATTCTTTTTTTTTTTTTTTTTTAAGTGTTTATTGTTGCAAGCATTTTTTCCCCCTGTTGATCCCTTCTAGCCCACCCACTTCAGGCCTTCACCACACTCTTGTCTGTGTCCTTGGGTTATGCATAAATGCAAACAAGTTCTTTGGTTGATCTCTTCCCACCTGAGTACATTCTTAATTGGAGAATTTTTTTCCTTATGTAGTTATACTTTATTGTTTATAGTTTGTGAGTTAGCTGGTAGAATGTATACCATTTTGGTAAGTAATAATTGAACATTTAAAAAATAAATACTTTTTTTAAAAAACAATTAACCGATATAAAACTTTTACAGCTTTATTATTTGTCCTCATGAGACACCCTTGAGTATTTAGGCTTGCCTGTAATCTTAGCTTCTGAGCTGGGAGATTTACCCACTTTTTAATATATCAAGTCTGGTGCATCTCAGAATGTAACTATGATTTTATATTCAAGGTTACATTTTCATAAAATTGTATCCCCCCAGGATAAAAGGGAGATTGAAGCGTCCCTGACCCTCGGGCTAACCATGCGGGGAATACAGATTTTCCAGGTGAGTAAAGGGGAGAACTCAGTGTCCAGTAGGCACTGCTCTGGCTCACAGTGACAGCGTGCCTCTGTGGTCCTGTGATAGCTGGGCGGGCCCTTTTGTGGCCATGTTTGGTCGTTGCTTCCCGTTTGTGCGCACAGATGTGGACGATGTGGGATAGACAAAAGGATCCAGTCTAAACCATGTAGTAACAAGTCTTCCAGAACAGAAAACAAAAAGCCAAAGATTGGCCCAGTTCATCCCTTTTCCTGTGTGTGTCCTTGACGTTAAGTATACTCTAGTGTATTTTTGTCCTCTGGAGCATTTATAGTTCTAAAGATGACATATTCATTTTCTGATAAAGCTTGTCCCTTGAGTAAGTAGGTGGGATGGTGCTGCAGCCATTGACAAGGGGGAGAAAGAGCCTCTTTCTGGAGAGCTAGGAGAGTATCAGGATATCTTTCCTTCGATGTAGGCAAAATATCCAAGGATGAAAGTCTGAGTACCTTGTCTCATCTCCCAAATGCCTGAGTCTTTCGGACTTTTTATTTAAATTTAGCGATAGGCCAAAAGAGGAAAGATTGCCTTGAAAAGGCCAATTAATGATGTAGTCACTCAGGAACCGGAAACTGAATCGTATCACTAATCTTTTAATTACTGTCTGCACATCTCCAAAGAGAGATGAGGACCTCTTTCAGATTTTAATTAATATATTTCAGTTTTCTGGGAGATAAATTAGAGCAATTTCAGTATCTGTCAGTTTTATCAGTAACTCTATATGCATTATAATTCTTCCCACAGAATTTAGATGAAGAGAAACAATTACTTTATGACTTCCCCTGGACAAATGTTGGAAAGCTGGTATTTGTGGTAAGTTTAAAATAACTGGCTAAAATAAATTACTCAGTTGTTTGTTTTTGCAATTTTGTCGTTTCTTGTTTTTTAAGACAATATTGTCCCAGACCCAAAAGTTGATATTTTAAAAAAGTCAGTAGTGAAGATAGATTTCTTATATCCTTATGTCACTCATCAGTAGTAAAGCTAAAATTAAAGAATTTTCTAGCAAAATAAATTAATAATTTTAATTTGTGTGCCCGGTCTTCACCACACTACCCTACGTTACTCTACTTGCAAAAGAAATGTAGTGAGAAAAGTACAAGATGAGTTCATCAAGTAGAATTGTTGTTAAAAGTGTTCGGCAGAGGGATTAGAAAACAGAGAACCATAATCGCAGGGTAAGGTTTCTTCGTGTGGGGCCGGCCAGTTCTTTTGGAAGTTACTTCCTTTGAAGAAGTAATAAAGAGTGATATAAAAAGATGTTTCTATTAATATCTGACTCTTTGAAACTCATCATTATAAAGAAAGGTCTATAGTTCTTACCAGGAAAAATACCTCTATTTTTATTTTTATTTATTTATTTTTTTAATATATTTTTTTAATATATTTTATTGATTTTTTTACAGAGAGGAAGGGAGAGAGATAGAGAGCCAGAAACGTCGGTGAGAGAGAAACATCGACCAGCTGCCTCCTGCCCACCTCCCACCGGGGATGTGCCTGCAACCAACGTACATGCCCTTGACCGGAATCGAACCTGGGACCCTTTAGTCCGCAGACCAATGCTCTACCGCTGAGCCTAACCGGTTTCGGCCAAATACCTCTATTTTTAGAATATTGAGGATGGTCACCTTTTTTTCTCAGAGCAAATTCATGATTTTTCCAGCTGTTTCTTTACTTTGCTAGCTATCTCCATTTCTTAATAGAGTTCAAAGAATTACAGTTAATAGTGTGTCTGTCTAGTAGTCATGAAAATCCACAATTTCCTTTTGTTCAGAAGCTCCTGAAAAAATACACAAAGAGAGGAGGAAGATAAGGATTTGTGCACATGGCCGTCTCTCCCCGAAGGAAGATGGCCTATATAAATAAAGGGTTGTATTGCCAAACAGCACTGGGCACTGATTCCACGCTGCCCTGTGAGTCAAAAGACCTGTTCCTGGCTTTACATTACTTTAATTACTTGGGCACAGTTCAATCTGATTTCACTTTACTCAATGTTAAGCACGGCCGGCCTGCCTCCTCCCTACTGGCTCTCCTTTGTTCCAGCTCTTTGTGAAAGGATCTGAGCTGTTTGAAAATGAGTGCATTATTGCCAAACTTGCTCCTTTCATGTCCCACACTAAGTAGTCATAAAATGCATTTCTGAAACGGAGTGTTTTAAGGGTCCTGGGCTCAGTGAATCTAGTTTTGCGTCATACTCATCCAAGGAGCGTGTTGACGTTATAGACTTTTGTGCCTCGTCCTCCTCTCTTACTAGAGATTTTTGATTCGGTGACTGTGGGTTAGAGAGGAGGAATCTACTTTGACAGACTTCCCAGATGCAGCCAGCCCAGCCCTGCCTAGCTGTGTGCCCTTGAGCAAATTGCTTAATCTCTCTGTGCCTTAGTTTCTTCAGTTCAGATTGATGGTGAGGATTAATGAGTTACAAATGCTGACAGTTTGTTAAGTATCAGTTATTACTGTTCTAGTATTGGGATCCACTGGTGGTCTTTTAAAGAAGTCTAGAGGTGAAAAATTCTATCGCTGTCTGAGTTACACAAACCCATCCTGATTTGTACCAACTTCAACTTAAGAGTATGTCTCCCTCTTTGCTTCACTTCTCCTCTCCCGCTGAGAATCGTTGTGTCTGGAATACTTCACTTTGTAGTTCTGCTGCTTTCTTCATTGTTAGGAAAGTGAAAGAAATTCAAAATATTCCAGAACTGTAAGGAACCCTGCCAGACTCTCACCCTCATCCTTGAACTCTATGTTAATGATCCCAGACCTAAAGAATGTGATCCCTTATGTCTCTAGTGATAGACACTTGTATCTCTTCTTTCTCTTTCTCGTCCCATCCCACCACTGTCTCTGTAACTTCCGGCTAGAGAAATTTTATATATATTTTTTAAACCCTAAGTAGGTAGCCAGTATTTTTCAGCATCATAATTCTATTTATTTCCTTCCCGGAATTTATCATAAGCTATAATTATTCTGTGTGTGTTAATTTGCCATCTGTCCCACCAGAATGTGTCTCCAGAAGGGTGGGGAGCTTGTCTGTCCCATTCACTGTGTCTTTCTAGCGTAGGGTTCGGTACACAGCACGTGTTTCACAAATATTTGAATGCATCCTGCTCCTGGAATTTGTTTGCTGAGTTAAGTGTTGGGATTCATTTGAGGATGCTGCATGATGGCCCCTTGTCTCCTCCATCATATAAATGGCCTGACCAGCCAGAGACACCTAAGATAGTCCTCAATTCTCGTACCCAGTCAGTGGTTACCAGGAGACCCTTGCCAGACCCTTTCCTGAATTTTGGGTAAACCTCTGTCTGTGACACTTTTGAAAGGGAACACAGTGATTTATGTCTCAGCAAATTTTGAATAAAGCTTTTTATGGTAAGTCCTCACTCAAAGTCATCCACAGGTACTGCAACTTTAAGCAAAAGGACGTAGTATCGCACAACCAGTTGTACTGTAGGCTAATACAGCGTTTTTCAACCGCTGTTCCGCGGCACACTAGAGATGTTGCCTGGTGTGCCGTAGGTGCCGACAAGACAAGAATTTTATAATTTTTCACTATTTTGTTTACTTAATATTTCATAATAAAGTCATTATAAAATACTTTCTTTGTGTTTATTTGATTCCTATTCAAGAGAATTACTTTATATATAGTCAATATAGGCACAGAGTTAAATTTTTTAACATTTTCTAATGGTGGTGTGCCTCGTGATTTTTTTCATGAAACAAGTGTGCCTTTGCCCAAAAAAGGTTGGAAAACACTGGGCTAATGGACAGAAACAAGAGTCGCGTTCCCATAGCATCTCATCAGCGCTTGTGACGAAACGTTACCCGAGGCCCTGCTGCCCATCCTTTTCTGAATCTGCAGTTTTCCTTACCAAGTAGACAACGAAGGGGGCCTGGGCAAATCAGAGACGTCGCTTCCCGAGTCTAATTTATGTTTTCCCTCCCCAGGGTAAGAAATTTGAGATTTTGCCAGATGGCCTGCCCTCAGCCAGGAAGCTCATCTACTACACGGGGTGCCCCCTGCGCTCCAGGCACCTCCTGCAGCTGCTGAGCAACAGCCACCGCCTCTACATGAACCTGCAGCCCATCCTGCGCCACATCCGGAAGCTGGAGGAAAACGAAGGTATCGCAGGCTCCCGGATGGGGGGAAGGGGGTGTCTTTGCCGCCGTAACCCCTGCTCTAGAGCTGCCATGAACTGGGTGTTAGGCTCCTGTGGGGTGGGAAGTGGGGGCCAGGTCTCTCCAGATTCAGCGCAGCATCCTCTTTCCATCCCAGCGCTGTTCCAGAAGGCAAAGGGATAACTGTGGTGCCAGCATCTGTACCATCCCAGATGCCGAGGTGATCCCCGTCATTTAGCTGCCCCTTGTGTAGTCTCTTTCACCTGTCCCACGCTTGACTTGAAAATTCTTGTGAAAAAGCCACCATGTGAAGGTTCAGGCCAAGGTGTATCTGCACCTCAGAGCTCCGTGTAGACACGGATCAACCTTGGTTCCATTATCCGCAGGCAATCTGAAATGGCTCCCAATGAAGTGGGGCACAGAAATGACTGTAGTCTCTCTTCTTGACTGCAGAGAGACCCCCATGTCTGCCCCAGCAAGGGTGACAAAGGAGGGAGAAATTTTCATCTGAGGATTTTATCAGCCAGTCCTGTGGGGGCTGGGCTGAGACACAGACAGAACAGAGCAGTCTCTGAGGAGCCCCAGAGTCCTGGGCCAAAGGAGACACAGGGTGGTGAAGAGGGAGGCAGAGAGGGCTTCTAGGGGCTGGCTTCAGCTTTACAGTATTAAGCTCGTGGTTAACTCTTTATCTTGAGTTAATGACACCTGAGGTCACTACACTCAACGCTCCAACTTCTGATCCCCCAAAATGCTACTTTGCATTTTTGTTTATTTTTTAATGCCTTCCATTTTATTTTGCAAATTCATATTGTACTCATTCTTGGTAATGCGATTAGATTAGTAGATTGTGGGGGTTTGCATGATCATTAGGATGCAGATTCACATCGGAGGTCCATGTCTGAAACAGATGTTGACCTCTCAGATCCAACCTTTCCCCCAGAAACAAGGCAATGCCTGCTCTCTCCGGGCAAGCAAAAAACCTTGTAGAGGTTTGCACATCTGATTGATATCTTTCCCAAGCTGCCTCTGTCTGAACGAGACCCCATTTGGAGATGTCCCTGTCATTTAATTAGCGACTAGAACGTGAATCATCTCCCACTGTCTGCCACCACGCTGCACCTGCCTTCGGAAAGAGTGGGTAAAAGTGTCAGGTGTATTGGCTTCCTCTGCTGCCAGGCTGCCAGTCCTTCTTCCAGTGACTCATCGGTATGACAAATATATCTCTCCGATGCTGACATGAATATGAAAGAGAATTCAGACAGGAAAAGGTGCCAGAGGAACTTGCGAGAATGGGGAGGAGACTTAGGGGGCTGCAGAGCCCATTGTCTGCCAAGTCAGCCTCGTTCCTAGTGGGTGCCTTGAGAAGTTCATTTATTCCACCAGCGCCTGTTAGTAAATTCTTTTTAAAAAAATATATTTTATTGATTTTGTACAGAGAGGAAGAGAGAGGGATAGAGAGCTAGAAACATCGATGAGAGAGAAACATCAATCAGCTGCCTCCTGCACACCCCCTACTGAAGATGTGCCCACAACCAGGGTACATGCCCTTGACTGGAATTGAACCTGGGACCTTTCAGTCCACAGGCCAATCCTCTATCCACTGAGCCAAACCAGTTTTGGCAGTAAATTCTTGTTTAGGGGCCTGCTCTTCAGAGCCCAGAAGAGGGAATGAACCAAAGCATCTAAGGTAAACTACCCAGCATGGTACCGGGTGCATGGTACCGGGCTTACATGTACAGGGCAATGAAGGAATGGAAAAATTGTAAATTGGATCTTTTATTTGATCAAGTGTAAATAGATTTGGAAGGGAAGTCTTTTTTCTTCTTCTTCTTCCAAGGAAAACACATTTAATTTCTTCTATTTAGAGATCCCTCCAGGGCTGAGGAAACACTGGAACTAAGTTCCTCTGGACCAGCCTTGGCCTGAATCCACGTATCTCACCCGCACTTAAAGCCCCTTTTCAGTATTGGCTCAGCAAAAGGAGCAGCACAAAAAGAGTCTTATTTTTCTTAATTACATTTCGTTTAGAGTCACCTTGTCTGAAATACCGTTTTAGCGTTTTATAGCAGAAAATAATCACAAGAATTCTTCCATAGTGCATAAAAGAGAAGTGCCTTTGTCATTGGAAACATGTTAAGCCAGCTTTACTCAGTAGCTAGAGCTTATTCTTAAGCCATATTTACAGAAGTCACATCGACTGCCTTCTATTTTAAAATCATGTGTGAAAACCTTTGCGGTCGCTGGGCTTTTCCCACAGGGGGATAACAGCACACTGGCATGTCGACCATCTTCCTGTGGAGGCCAGTGATTGCTAGGGGGACGAGAAGTTGTATTTTGCATTTCTTAGAACAAATTTCTGCATTACTTCAGCATTTCCCTCTGTCTGTAACTGAGTGGTGTGAAACTTCTTAAATGTTTGCAGAGAGTCTAAGTGATGTAACACTCATTTCAAAGGAGCCTCGTGGTGCAGTCTGATAGGAAGAATATGTACACTAGGCTCCTAGCAGGAGCGCAGACTGGCAACTGCTTGTACCACAGGGACTGTGCTAGTGAGTATGGGAGACTAGGATTGGCCCCAAACCTATTTGGAGGCTGGGGTTAAAAAGACTATTTGTAAAGATGTAGAAAAGCTTTTATTTTTAGTTAGTTAGCTAATTGATTAGTTTTTAATATATATACATATATATATATATATATATTTTTTTTTTATTGATTTCAGAGGAAGGGAGACGGAGAGAGAGAGAGATACATCAATGATTCGAGAGAATCATTGACATTGATCAGCTGCCTCCTGCAGGCCCCACACCGGGGATCGAGCCCACAACCCAGGCATGTGCCCTGACTGGGAATCGAACCATGACCTCCTGGTTCAGTGGATGCTCAACCACCGAACCACGCCAGCTGGACTAGAAAAGCTTTTAAATGATCAGATCCATGATTCCCAATTGCCTCAGACCTCTAATAAATACTCTATAGAACTTTTCCCCTATTTTTGTTTTATTACTTTTTTTCCTTCACTTGCCACCCTTCTGAGGGTCACCGGGCTATCTATTATTTTGAAAGTACAGTAAGTAATAATTGTATGAGAACTTTGCAAACGCCTTCAGCTCTCATCTTCATGTCAACCCGTTGCCTGCAGAAAGCAGGAATCATTAGAACCCAGGCTCACCCTAAAAAATGGGTCGGGTGCCCTTTTATCTCAGTGGTGCGTGTTGGGCTGTGTTGTCCGGTCCCACTCTGCTTTCTCTGTGGCTACACACACATGCCTACCCGGTGTTTCAGCCCGATTCCGTAGGATTGTCAGGAAGGGGCTGGCGCCCAGAAGTGCATGCCCAGCCTTCCCCTAGCATCTTTCCCGTTATGCCTCCAGCAAAGCATATCATCATCTTCCCTTTCTGCTGATGCCCACTCCCTCTCGGGAGCCTGTGGTGACGATACTTCAGAGCTGGAACCAGACATCAGCCGTGCGAGTATTTTAACCTAACCAGGAAACAAGACAATTAAGTCCATGATCAGCCCCCTGAGGACCCAATTAGTCTCCTTGTTAGCAGCTTCTGAGATAATATCAATTTAATGTTTCCCAGATGCACTCTCTATTGTTAGCATTGTTCTAATGTGTCATTTCTCATCCGTATTAAAAATACAAGGAAGCTAAACTATCTTTTTGTTTTAAATTTCCGACGCGAAGCACAAAGATAACATTTTTGTGTCAGGTGTGCCCCTGCACCTCAGCTGTAACCTTGTGTTTGACTGTGGGGACGTGGGGGCCAGGTCTCTCCATCTTTTAGCACTGCAGAAAGGTTAGCTTTCTATGCACCTATAATGTGGTTTATATATTTTTTATAATTTTTAAAAATATATGTTTTATATATTAGGTTAGCACTTGATGACAGGGACTTTCAGTGACGTGTCTCTGCATTAAAGAACAGCACTGGCACGTTCAGGAACATGTCTACCCATCAGAAGCCATGTGACACACCAGCCGTGATCACTGTGTTTTCTAACTAGATGAGAAAGTCTCACTAATTCAGCCTCGATGGAGAAAAGCAGTCTTCGCTAATGTAAACCTAAATTTTAGAATTACCTGAAAGAAATTCTCAGAAGGACCGTTTTATTTTAAATTGTATTCAACAAGTTAGAGCTAAACAAACAGTGGACCAAATGAACAAATGAAATGAGTGGCAATTAGCATAATTACGTTTATTCAACAGTCTCCTGTAGTAGTGCTTCTGAAATTACCTGTGGGGAAGGACCAGGTTTTTTTTTAAATTTCTAGTCCACTGTGGACTGATACTTCTGCAAAATACAAAAATCACCATGGTGGCAGCCATGACAATGTCAGATTGCTCAAATGTTTATTCTTAATTAAACTTTCTAAATGTTTAGTCTCAATTACTGGACTTATTTCACTGTGGGACCAATGACAGTCTGCTTACACGAGGCGGTCAGTCACGGAGCAGCCTTTTTCTCTGGAGTTTGAAGCTCTAAAACTCTGAGTAATTCAAAAGTGCTCCCCTCAAACGTGTCACCCTGGCTTTTGTTCACTTGGCAGTGTTCTTAAGGGGAGAGCCTGTCGGAAGATTCTGAGAGTGAACTTGTACTTGATCTTGGCCTGATGGCTGACCCACTTAAGCTCGCCATCCGATCCCCGTGTCTTGGTTGAGTGTGATGGCCACCGGTTGTTTCTTCCCACGCAGAGAAGAAGCAGTACCGGGAATCCTACATCACTGACAACCTGGACCTTGACATGGACCAGCTGGAGGAGCGGTCCCGGGCCAGCGGGAGCAGCGCGGGCAGCATCAAGCATAAGCGCCTGTCTCGTCACTCCACCGCCAGCCACAGCAGTTCCCACACCTCGGGCATCGAGGCGGACACCAAGCCCCGGGACCCGGGGCCGGAGGACAGCTACTCGGGCAGCGCCATCCACCGCAAGCTGAAGACCTGCAGCTCCATGACCAGCCATGGCAGCTCCCACACCTCAGGGGTGGAGAGTGGCGGCAAGGACCGGCTGGAAGAGGACTCGCAGGATGATGGTAACCTTTCCCCCGGGCCCTCCATGCCGACAGGACAGCCCCCGTCCTAATGGCTCATTTCTTTTTCTCTCCTGGTTGTTTTTCGGTTCTACAGAAGTGATATCTGCACAACAGCTAAGAAGTAGTAAAATAGAGAAGTGTCATGCCACCTTCCCCAATGACTTGATTGGGTTGTTTGTGAACAAAACATCCCTCTAGTCATGAAACTTTGCCACCACCGGGTTGGGTGGTTGTAGATTCTAGGTTTTAGGATTTTATGTGGAAAAGTTAGTCCCACAGCCCTTGGGTCTGCATTTTTGATTTCCACATGAAATAAAAATTGGTTAGGACTACAGATTGGATTCAATGATAGTGACATAAATGCCTTGAACTTAAAAAAAGTTTTGAGTCCAGGCTATTTGATTAATTAGTATTTCTTAAATACTTCTCATGTCACCAGAACACTAGGGAGTATAAAAGAAACACAGCATCTGGCCATGTAACTGTGGTAAGGAAATAAGATAAAGATATACAGCCTGTATCAGCCAAAATTAGCATTTGTTTACATCTTTTTTATTATTTTTCCGCCTCAAATAAATGCCATAGCATTCAGGTTTGGGGAAGAGAAACTGACTCCATTAAGGAAAGCTGCAGAACATGTTTGGTTACTTTAGAATTCATGTAGTAACCAAACTGAGTCACTAACTTCCCTGAGACTAAGCAGCTACGGGCAGTGGGGAGCTCCATGAACTACTCATTCTCTGTCAACAGTCTGCTTTGGCATTAGCCAAATGACCCATCGGTTTCTATTTGCCCTGTGACTGAAGCATGGTAGGATAGGTTTTCTTCTTTCTTAAAGGGTAAACAACAGTTGACAAGTCATGGTGTTGGAAGACCTGTGGAGAACACAGCAGTCTTTTGAGAAAGAGAACAAATAACATCTGGTTGAGAATTGTCCCAAGAGTGGACTGCTGTAGAGCCTCATAAGCCAACTTATTTTCAAATATGATAACTAGAGGACCAATGCACAAAGATTCCTGCAAGAATGGGCTTCCACCCCCTGGCTGCCAGCACTGCCTTTGCTCTGGCCCAGAGCCACCTTTCTGCCTTATCACACTACCCAGAGTCCAGAGTGTCTGGGACAGTGTGGAATGCCTGTGTTATTGCAATGGCCACTTGGCACCTGTGTATGCAAATTAACTCACCATCTTTGTTGGGTTAATTTGCATACTCACTCCTGGTTGGCTGGTGGGCATCATGAAGGTACTGTCAATTTGCATCTTTCTCTTATTAATGCAGACATATAGTCTCCCTTAGAATGTGGCTTTGCAGTATGGTGATCATTTCCCTTTATGCCGCTACATGTCTTTTCCTTTTTCTGTGTCAGAAATAGAGATGTTGGTTGATGACCCCAGGGACCTGGAGCAGCTGAACGAAGACTCTCTGGAGGTCAGCCCAGACATGTGCATCTACATCACGGAGGACATGCTCCTGTCGAGGAAGCTCAATGGACACTCTGGTGAGCTCTCCCAGGGAGTTTCCCTTAGCAGTATGGGTTTTGTTTTTAAACCTCGGTTACCTTCGGTTTCTGTCACATGTCATGAATTAATCTCTGTTCTTTAGAGAAAGATGCCTTAGTATAGTGGCTGGCAAACTCATTAGTCAACAGAGTGGCAAACCGCAGCTTGCGAGCCACTTGTGGCTCACGAGCCTTAGTGCAAGTACTGTCCAAGTGGCCTGGGCACTTGTTGTTATGCCACTCAGAGCTTTGATTGAGTGAGAGACCCAGTTAGGGCTAGAGGGACTGCTATTGCCCTGTCAAGACCCACAATCCCACCCTAGCTGGTGTGACTCAGTGGATAGAGCACTGACCTGTGTAGTGAAAGGTCCAGGGTTCAATTCTGGTCAAGGGCACATGCCTGGGTTGCGGGCTCGGTCCCCAGTGTGGGTCATGCAGGAGGCAGCCAATCAATGATTCTCTCTCACCATTAATGTTTCTATTTCTCTATCCCTCTCTCTTCCTCTCTGAAATCAGTAAAAATATTTAAAAAAATAAAAAAGACCCACAGTCCCCGATGCTGAGCCTCCTCCATGCGCATGGGGCAGGGAATCAGATGAATAAGGCCAGCACAGTCCCCCCACCCTGGCACTCACTCTACAAGAGCAGGAGGGACCATATGGGAGAATCCCACTGGCTGGCCTAGCAGCACCCTGGCCTTCACGTGCTCTGCCAGGAACAGACCTGTGGTGATGGCAGGATCCTCTGCCTGACCAACAAGGGCCAGCGCTCCGGGCACACTTAGCTTAGTTCTTACACCCAGTTTTCCTCCCTTCTGTCCGTTTGTTTAATGGGTTGAGTTTTTCTTACAAGTAACATTTCAATGTGTATTAAAATAAATTCATAATTATATGCACATTATAGGTGCACAGACAGCACACTCACTCTCTGTGAGTGTGTGCATGTGTGTGTATGAAACATTGTACACGAAAGTGCTTGTGGGGAGTGGGTGCAAGGGAAGCCTTTAACACAGGAAGTTATTTCTATAGGTTACTAGCAGCGGCTGAATGAGAATCACATTCCAGTTTTGTTTTGTTTTTAATAAGGTTCCAGGTACTTAAATTACTCACCTGTTTGCAAGAAAAATGTCAGTGATCTTCCCATACATTCCCAGCTCTTGTTGGCAGTTTTACCTTCTGAAACATTTCTTGGGGATGATTCACCCACACGCTGCAGTCTCATAAGGAAGTGTCAGCCCTGGATTTGCGTTTCCAAGTATCAGCAGGTTGCCCCTGAGCACTGGGGTGACTAGGGACCCTGCCGATCTTCCCTGCGGCCTCCGATTTCAGGCTCTCACTAGTGAGGGGGATTGGCTGCAGGAGGTATGGGCCACAGTGTCCCTGCCAGTTAAGAAGAGCGTGTTTCCTGTGCAGGCCCGGTACTTCGTGCTTGTCATGCACATGCTCTTTGATCGTCATAAAACTATTGGTAGGTGCTGCTGTCAGCCCCCTGTATGTGAGACGCAGGGTGGTTAGGTACCTGGCCAGGACACACAGCTGATTACTTGTCTGGGCCGAGGATCAACCCAGATCTGTGCGACTCCAGAGACCAGAGCCCTCACACATACCCACTGCACATCCAAGTGGACCAAACTGAGAAGTCACTGTCCGGCTGGGATTAAGCTCCGAGCTGGTGTTATGTGGAAAGTGGGAAGATTGCAGGAGAGCTAGCAAAGACACTCCTCCACCCTGCGGTCTTTGTTTTCACTTCTAACTTCGTCATAGATAGCTTTGTGAGAAGTTTATTTCAGAAAATTCAGACTCTAAATTTTTTCCTATACTCAAACCCCACATTCATCTCAACCTACCCTTCACCCCAATTTCCTACAAGATACAGGATCAAATGGGTTTCTCCTACCAAAGACTCACTGTGAGATTTTTCCAATAATGGTTAATATTTTATCTTTCCTTTTCAGTAGCAGCAGTGTATGTGTAAAGAATAATGTGAAATCTTCATTGCTTTTTTTCCTCTGTGTTACTTTAGGGTTGATTGTGAAAGAAATCGGTTCTTCCACCTCCAGTTCCTCCGAAACAGTTGTCAAACTTCGTGGCCAGAGCACCGATTCTCTCCCACAGGTATGGAGGGAACTGAGCACTCTACATAGCAAGTCACCGTGCAAATTTATCTAAAGAGGCAAAAATTAAAAATCCTGAGTAATTGATTCTTACCAGATACATGCATTACGGTTTCATTCTGAACTGACTTCCAGTTGATTTGCTGGTTCCATTTAGCTTGGAGTGGATTTGATTTTGGATAAATTATGCACCTGTGTCACACTCCAGGTGTCCAGACCTCAGGCTGACTCTGTGTGTGTGTGTGTGTGTGTGTGTGTGTGTGTGTGTTGATGGACCACAACAACGGGTTAGATGTGCTGGGTAGAGGTGTTGCTCCACACTCTAATTCTCCCCTTCAGAGTAAACTTTCAAAGTATACTGTGGGAGGATATTTGATAACCTGCTCATACTAATGATAACCTAATCATACTCTAAAACTCACGGTTGCAGTATTTGGATAAAATGTACAACTCATATTGACCTCTATTTTCTGAGTGCTTGCTATCTCTTTCTTGGGTTCTCTCTCTCTCTTTTTTTTTTTCTTCTGTGTATTTCTTTTATTTCTCCCCCCCCACCCCACCCCTGCATTCTGGTAATTTCTGCCTATTGCCTTTTTCTCTCTTTTTTTTTTATTTGCCCTTTCTTTTTTCATTTATATAGTCATAATGTGAAATGACATTTTACACTTGATTTTAGCCAAAAGGCCGAGAAGCGATTGAAATGACATTTTATTAAATATTTTTCTGAGTCCAGCTAGTGTGGCTCAGTGTTAGAACATCAACCCATGAACCAGGAGGTCACACTTTGATTCCCCATCAGGGCACGTTCCTGCGTTGTGGGCTCAATCCCCAGTAGAGAGCATATAGGAAGCACCCGATCAGATATTCTCTCTCATCGTTGGTGTTTCTGTCTCTCTCTCCCTCTCTCTGAAATCAATGAAAACATATTTAAGAACAGATATTTTTCTGAAAGCTCTCCTGCGTAACTTTCAAAGCAGTATGTGCCGCATGCTTAGGAGGAATGAACTCCAAGGTCCCACTGCCTGGGTTTGCACCCTGCTGGGCCACTAAGTGTTAGCTCTTATGGTACATACATGTTTGTGGGGCACCGCGAAGGATCAGAGTCCTCACCTACAAAGTGGGGAGAGCATTCCTGTGCCCGCCTTGAGGACGTGTGGTAGTGACCTACAGAATTCTCCGTGTGAAAGCCCACGGGCGCCTGGGAGAACATGAGTACAAGGGATGGTCACCTCCAGGGAGTGCTCCAACGTGACACTTTCTGGTAAAATATTTCTGGGCTCGGACCCTCTTCTCTCCTCCTGGTACTTTTGCCTCTGAATTCTCACAGCGATGTTGGCCTTGGTGGTGTCCCGCAGCATAAGTGAGAGAGAACAACGCCTCGTTTCCATTAATAACCCATTTAGTATCTTCCACTTATGTAATTATCCGAGCCATTTTTCACACTATTTATGTGTTCAACCGGTACCACCTCTTGGGATAAGGAGCTCCAGGAGTCTGTGACCCGCTGCGCGGAGCCTTTGGCAGAACTCGGCCCCTTGGGGCGCTCAAGAGCTGCCTCTCCGTCCTGGCACCTGCCTCCCAGCCTTCCCTGCACCGGTTATTCTTCCACCCCAAGAATTCTGGCTTTCACAAAAAAACGGTTCTCCAGTCTTTGTTCCTGGGGGAATCATGAATTTGTTTTTCCATTTCCTATTAACATAATAGCAGACCTCAGCATGAAAGCATTGGCACACCGAACTGCCGTATTCTAAAGAAACAGCCTCTTTACCTATGCAGCCTTGTTTTAAGGCAATTGCTTGACTTCTGAGATACTCGAGAGAGCTGGGTTCCTGTTGCACTTACGTCTCTATGCCTTGGATTATTCATTAGTAAAATTGGGGAGAATAAAAGCACCCGCCTCATAGGAAGACTGAGTTGATAATACATGTAGTGTGTTTATATCCGGGCCCACCGCCACCTACTAAAGGCTCAGGACACGTTAGCTGCTCTTCCTGTTATTGGTGATGCTGATATTTTTATTCTCAGGGGCTCTGGTGTTTCAGATGAGAAACCTCTTTGACAGGCGGGGGTTCCTTAATCCCGAGCCACATGGGACTCTTTGGCCCCTTGAGTGTGGCGCTTCCACAAAATACCACAGCCTGGGCGAGTCTATTTTGAAGAAGCGGCGTTAGGAGAAGCTTACATTTTAAAAATTTTGGCTCTCAAAAGAAATTTCAATCGTTGTACTGTTGATATTTGGCTCTGTTGACTAATGACTTTGCCGACCACTGCCTTAACTCCTTAAATAGTTTCGCAGCCCCTCTTCTTTAAAACGGGGCAGATGCCGGTATTGCTAACCTTTCCCCTTGAGCCTGTCCTCTTAAAGCTGTTTCGGACTTCCCTTGTTTTGCAGACGATCTGTCGAAAACCAAAGACTTCCACGGACCGGCACAGCTTGAGCCTCGATGACATCAGGCTTTACCAGAAAGACTTCTTGCGCATCGCCGGCCTGTGTCAAGACACGGCGCAGAGCTACACCTTTGGCTGCGGCCACGAGCTGGACGAGGAAGGCCTCTACTGCAACAGCTGCCTGGCCCAGCAGTGCGTCAACATCCAGGACGCCTTCCCCGCCAAAAGAACCAGCAAATACTTTTCTCTGGACCTCACTCACGATGAAGTTCCAGAGTTTGTTGTATAAAGAGCGTCTGCGAGCAGCTCTGCAGCGGCCCGCCGTCCCCCGGGGGCCGTGAAAGCCATGAGTTCCCTCCTGTTTCTCGCGCCATAGGTCCCTCCCCCAGAACACAGCCCTCGCTTTATATTTGCAACGGGAACAAAGCCTCGGGACAACTGCACTTTAAGCGTCACACAGACGCGAAAGGGAATGTACAGCAAGATAAGTGCCTGGAGTGCAGGATCCTTCGGGAGGAGATGTGCTTTTCTGGTTTACCACGCCTTCAGGACGTTGAACCGCGGTGTGTTTGCCCACCGTTCTGTCCTTTTAGTTCCATCACAGGGAATAGCATCATGGTTTTTATCATGGGGATGGCGTTAGGTGTTTGTGTGCCTGTACATTTTTTTTTTTTTTTTTTTTATCACTCCCTCATGAAATGCCCATGTTTTGAGGGAGGAGAAAAGAGTCTCCGTTTTTTCTGGAGAGACTGTGGCCTAGCCCACACTCATCGCCGCCTCCCTGGGGCTGTCCCAGCGTGAACACCGGCGAAGCAGTCAAGATCAGTGCGTCTAGCAAGCCAAAGAGATGTACCCGACGGAAGTGCAGGCCGGGGAGGACCGGCAGGTGAGCGAAGCGGTACCTGAAGACTGACTGCGTGCTGCGTGCGGCGCCTATGACTCCTCCGTGCCCAGTGCCACGCCCCCCCCCCCCTGCCTTCCAGAAAGGAACGGAGCAGCTGTGTTCATGTCACAGTGTATTCTGTAGAGTTTCCAACTCTGTTTTCTGTTAAAACTACGAAAACGTCTTAGAAAATGTTCGTGCTTAGTGTTCGTTTTTTTAAATAAACCAAGAACAAATTATGGGAATGCTAGTTTCTGCTTCACCAGAACCGCCCTAACTCTCCCCAGATGTTAGTATACATATATAAATACATGAGATGGTGCGTGTTTTTTATGTGCGTAAAGCTTCCGTGGCTGTCTTACGTTACGTGGCCGGTCTTGTTGAACAGGGAGGATGCGTTGTTGAATGAATGATACCTACAGACAATCCGTTGACTCATGTAGTTTAAAATGACTATTTCTCATGTGTCTTTTGCCGTGATCCTCAACCCTGGTTGCATAATAGAATTATTTGGAGAGGTTTTTTTTAAAAAAAATGCCTGGGTCCCACCTCCAGTGAATTCAATTAGACCCAGGCGGACTGCCTTTTCCTGAAAAGTTCTCCAAAGGGAGCCCGTATCAGCAGAGCTGAAAACCACGGATCCAGAGGATGTCTTTTTAATGTTGACATAAAAGCATCCAGAATACGTTAGTGTTTGAGAAAGGGCCATTTCAAAGACAGTTTCTGCCACTGCCCTTAGGGGATAGAAGGAAACCGAGTCTAGGGAATGAACTCAGTAATGGCCTTGCTCGCTCTTGACGAGAGAACTTTAGCACAGTGTCTTTCTAGGAGATGTTTTTAATGATTTCATATTTAAAGCATTTGTTTACCATATTTTGATATACCATTTTTCTACCTACCAGGTTTTATTAAAAAAAAAGAAGAAGAAGAAGAAGAAGCGACACTATTATTTTTAAAGAAACAGTCATATTTTTATACAAAGTTAAGTTTTCAGGTAACAAAGATATAGACTTAGGAGACGGCAGAACACGCAGTGTTTGTTACCCATCGATGGGAGTCAGTATTACAGACACACACGGGCGCACACAAGCCTGGTCAAGTCAGTCTAACTTGACACTTCAGAAGAAAAAGGAGAAATTCTGTGGAGTTCTAGAGTCATGGAATCATTGTACTTTTATCCAGTGTTTTGAAAGAACCAAAGTTTCAGATATCAGAATGTATAAAAGTATCTCAGCCTCTGTATAAAAGGGTGAAGGTGCAAAAGGATCATCCAGTGACTGTTTTTCTTAGACACCATCACGAATTCACCGTTTCCTGTGGATGCGGGAGGGACAGGTCCTGGGGAAGTTGGACTGGAAAGAGCCCCGGTCACTACATGCCGTGTTTCCTCAGCTCTCAGTGTTTCTTGCAAAGATCAAGGAAAAAAACAAAAAACATAAATGTATTTACTAGGTAGCGCTTTTTACTTTATTTTCTCTCAGCTTCCAGCTGAGCCACGTCTTCAGGGTTTTGCCAGCACAGTTGGTGGTTTTGCACACCTTCTTTCTCATTGGATTGATGCCTCACCTTGTAGGTTTTCAAGAATGAAACATGCTGAGGACACTTTTGTTTTGTGATCCACTGTTTGCAGCAGAATTATATATATGTGTATATGGAAATCCATTTTGAATACCTACATTTTTGTATTTGGAAATTGTTTTAAAAAAAAACAAACAAAAAAAAGTATAAAGCTGTTATTTATTCTGCATTTGTTAATGTCCATTGCTGAGTTCGTGTACTGATTTGGTATGCACTGCTTCTGCATTTGTATTTGCAACAGTGAGCTTTCTATCTGCACAAATTGTAAAGAATCCTTTCTGTGAAAGGATCGACATAGCGGGATGATACCAAAAGAGTGTAAAAAAACAAACTGCATTATTTTGTAATTATTCTTTTAGGCATTTCATGGTAAGATCAACATCAATAAAGTTACTTTTTATTTGTCTTTGGCTGATTTTGTTGTTATTAGTTCTCAACTAAGAAAGAGGTGTTTGAGAGTGAATGTTTCCTCTGTGTCTTACTTCCTGTGACAGAGCACGTTACAGGACAGCCTCACGTACCCATCAGATAGATGCTGAGCCCTGCCTGTGCCTGGCCTGCTCCGCCCGCGCTGGAAGTGCATTTGTTAGCGTGTAGTCCTCGTGTTCACAGAAAGCAGGTACTATTGTTGTTCTTAAGTTAGCGGTGAAGCAACCAAGGCTCCAAGCGGTGGAGTCCAGTCAGAGAGGCTGGGACAGCCACTATTCAGTTCCAAATTATGGGGCTGAAAAAAAACTTCTTTAAATATATATTTTTTAGTTTTTTAAAATTAACTACTATAACTTTTGCCCTTAAAACAATCATCATTGGAGTGTTAGTTTTAACTTCAAAAAGCTTGGTGGTTGCATTTACCTGTTTATTTCTAAAATATGTTTTTATTGGCTTTAGAGAGGAAAGGAGAGGGAGATAGGAATATCGAGAGAGAAGCATCAACATCAATTGGCTGCCTTCTGCATGCCCCTGCATGCTCAATGGGATTGAGCCTGCAAACATGGGCACGTGCCCTGACAGGAATCAAACTGATGACCTCTTGGTGTATGGCTCGACATTCAGCCACTTAGCTGCACCAGCTGGGCAGTGGTTGCATTTAAAAGCAAGCATTCATAAGACTGAGTGTGAGGGAAATAAGCATGAAGGACAGAGCCCAGAACTTCGAGTCCATGGACAGGATTCTGAAATGCCCTAGCCCTCCTTAAAGAAAATGCATTACCTTCTTTTTGCTCCTGTTTTCTTGGCTATAAAAAAAGGTGGAAATAATAATTCAAAGAACTATTGAGGATTGACTAAAATAATTGGTATAATATGCCCTCGATGACTACAGTGAAAAAAAAGGAAGGTTTTCAAATCTGACGAACAGTGAACTTTTATAGAATTGAGACATTGGGTCACCTGGAAGCATAAAATCCCAAACACAAGCTTTCTAGTGCAGTGTTACGAATTTTGCAGAGTATTTGGTAAATTGTTAAGTAAATTGGAGGCAAGGGGGAAAAATAGATGTTTGCCTACTATGTGTCTGATATTACACACATCATGACTAATCCTCACAACTAATCCTCTCCCATTTTGTAGCTGAGGAAACTCTTAAACTTGTCCAAAATCCTACAGCTAGTAAATGACAGAGCAGAGTTTTTAACCCAAACTTGTCTCCCAAAGCTTTGCTTTTTGTATTACATACCATGTTACCCACAGCTCTAGAGAAAACTTTGAATCTAATGGGGAAGACAGACTTAAAATTTTGATGGTGTGATAAATGAAATGTCTGTTCATGCACTATTTTTTTTTTTTTAGCACCCACTCACTCTGGCAGACACTCTCAAGGTTTATATAGGTATTAGCACAGGCCGTGAAGATGTAGGGAGTGGGAACAGGAGTGGGAGGATCAGAGAAGGTTTTACTTGGAAGAAGAGCCTTGAACGGGGACTCTGGCAGGATGGGATAAGGTACCAGCTATCCAGGCAAAGGCTCAGAAGTGGCCACAACTGCTCATTAAGGGACCTGCGAGGACCCACAAGGGACCTGTGACTCGCTGAGACTCTCTCCAGTCTCATCATGAAAGGCCTTGTGCCCCCAGATGACGACACAGATTTTTCTGGATGGGAGGATCCACTGAAGAGGGTGTGAGAGGAAAGATGTGTCTGGGGCTTAAGAAATACTGGGAGCAGTGCTAGCCAAAGTGTGGAGAGAGACTTTTTTTTCTCTTCCTGAAAAACATGGGCATTTCATAAGGGAGTGATAAAAAAAATAGAGAGAGTTCCCAGCATAGGAATGGCTTATGTTCCAAGTTTGCTTCTAAATTTGCTGTCTGATATCTAGAACACACATTCCCAACTTCTCTAACTAGCTCACAAATGCCTGTTTGGCCCAGAGGGATTATGAGAGATCATGCTTTCTGTGCATCAGTAACCATCTCTTAAAGAAGTGACCCAGAGAATAAATAAGAGAGGTGGAAGTACCCCACGACCAGACAGAGATGAAGGCACCCCCAATAGACCAGTAGTTCAATCTTTGGGGTTTACTTCTCAGAGTTCATCCACGCCCATCTACAAATAACAGTAGAGAAAAGCTTCAGGCAAGCCATGCCAAAATGAAAAGGCTCCATGTCAATTGCTATCACCGTGGGGTTCTAAGATGGCTGCTCCTCGTGTTTTCTCATCCAGACTCCAGATCCCAGTCCGAAGCACTCAGCTAGGCCCTGCCATCATGAAAGTGACCAGGCACTAAGCCAGCAGATCTGGTAACAGGTCCCTTCTTCTGATCTGCAGTTGGAGGAAGAGGGTGGGTCTAGGATCCACAGGATTAAGCAGAAGCCAGGTTCTCCTTTCATGACCCCACGTTGCTGCTGCTTCAGGGTCTAAATAAGATGCTATCAGAGCGAAGTATACTGGAGCCTTTAAATACAACACCAGTATGAATGGGGAAGATCATAAAACTCACTGGAGAAACTGAAAAAAAAGAAAGAAAGAAAAAAAAGACCTAAGTAAATTGAAATATTATACCATGTTCCCAGAATAAAAACTCAATAACGTAAATGTCACATTTTCCCATCAATTTTAAAGAACCCAATGAAATATTTTAACAACGATGGAGTAATAGAGACCTCTAACCTGAGGCAACAAAATGTATGCTGTATATAAAAAGTCTTTTAGACACTTCACAATAGGCAGTGCATCAGAGCAAGCTCCATAAATAGAGGAGCAAGATGGGCGTCATTGTTGTCTAGCTTACTGTCTGGAGAGGTTGCAGGGCACAATGAAGGAAAAGGAACCCAAATGGACCCCAGTGGTATCCCTGAATTGAGATGCAGAGGGGAGGATTTAGGGAGACCAATGTAATGAGTTCACAAGGCGGTGTACCAGAGAGAGGGAGTGCTGTGCAGAGCAGGAGGGAGCGGGAGAGGAGAAACAGAGAGAGCACACATAGGTTCTTCTCAAGTCCGCAGCTGAATGCTGATCAGCATACACATGTGAGGAAAGCATTTGGAGCTGGGGAGAGAACTACGAGGAAGGAGTAAAACAATCCCTGGAGCTCCCATAGGACCAGAAATTGTTTGTGTTTCCACAAGCTAGAGTGAAAAAACTTTACACTCTGTGGCCATCTTATGAAATTCTCAGAAGGGCATTTTCCAAGACTGACAGTTGTACTGGTCCTGCCTAACAAAGCTGAAAGTGTTAGTATCTGTAGAGGGAAGGGAGAAGAAATTACTCTTTTTTTTATTGGAGGCTATAGTACATTTGAGTTTCAAATTATATAGATGTATTACTTTTAAAAAATATGTCTTTATTTATTTTTATTGATTTCAGAGAGGAAGAGAGAGGGAGAGAGAGATAGAAACATCAATGATGAGAGAGAATCATGGGTCAGATGCCTCTTGCATGCCCCTCACTGGCATTGAGCCTGCATCCCGGGCACGTGCCCGGATCTCGAATCAAACCGCGACCTCTGGGTTCATAGGTGGATGCTCTACCACTGAACTGTGCCAGCCGGGCAGATGTATTACTTTTTAAAAAAATGTTTTTAAATTTATTTTCAGGATGACAAAAATTCCAGTCACTAGCATAGAACCCTGGGCTCCCAGGGACCATAAAGAGAGAAGGACCAGCAGATGGAAGCCAGGTGTTTTGAGCAGTGGGCTGTGAAACGTGTGTCCGGTGAACAGAAGACATGGGCACCGAGCCCAGGAGGCGGAATGGGAGAGGGAGGCTGCTGTGCCTTTGGAAGCGGGCTCCTCCTGACAACGCCTGCAGGCTATTCTGGGAGGTGTTGAGATATTCATGAAAAGAGCTTTGGGGAACCACGAGGGAGTTGTGTGTAGTGAGGGCGCCAGAAGGGGGGAGGACCTCTCTTGTTCCCTGCACGCTGGGAAGTGCGGGGCTGATGCCCAGTGAAAGTGATCTGGCTCTCGTTTCCCCAGTGAGAACAGCCCGCAGATGGGTGTCTGGTAACCCAAAGCCTTCCCTGAACCAGCCCAAGTCAATTGTTCCGCCAGGCAGGAGGCTGGGGCTGGCTTGGGTTTCAGCCTCGGGCCCCTGGGGACTGGTGACAACCTGTGGGGCAGACGTGAGCCTGAGGCCTGGAACTGGAGGAGCGGGTAGAGACACAGAGGGTGTCAGGATGGGAGGATAGCTATAAGTGGGAGGTTGTTCTTCAGTCGATCCCTCGATCCCTCATTCAAAGGTTCACCAACCGAAATGATTAGCAGAAGTTCCAAAGAAGCTTTTTAAAGAGATAGCTCTATCTCCCTGCCTCACACCACACTTGCTGATCAAAACCTCTAAGGGTAAAGCCCCGGACTCTGACACACTCCCTTCTTCTCCCCACTCCATACCTTGGGCCAGCTCCAGAGCACGCCTGCCTGTGATCCTAAAGCAACCGGTCCTCTCCCGCTCTGAGCTGTTCTTCTTCCTTCTTTGTAAGCAGTTCAGAGGCAGTGAGAACTTGCCGAAACCCAGATGTAAAGGTCTGGTTTCTGCCAGTGGTTGGCAGCATCTGCCAGTTATGAATTTGGGCTGCAAGGGAACAGGTACATCCTGGGAGGGGTAGGAGCTAAGCTCTTCCACAGATTGTTGCCATTTTTCTGCATCATCCATCTTCAGTGAGAACCTCTGAAAGATCTGAGATGGGGGGGGGGAGGGGATCGGGGCTGGCCAGGCTGATGTGCATTTAAAAAAACAAACAAACAACATGTTTTTATTGACTTAGAGAGAGAAGAAGGGAGATGGATAGAGACATAGAAACATTGATGAGAGAGAAGCCATCTATCAGCTGCCTCCTGCACACCCTCTACTGGGGATCAAGCTGGAAACCACATGCCCTGACTGAGAATCCATCTGTGACCTCTTGGTTCATAGGTCGATTATCACCCACTGAGCCACACTGGCTGGGCAGGCTGCTATGCTTTTGTTCAGC